TTCCTCCTGTGCTTTCATTTGGGTCATGTTTCTTTATCTCCCCATTTCTGTGTATTGGATAGGACTGCTATAACTCCCCATCTTGGTGTGGTGGCCTTCTGTAGTGGGTGTCTTGTGGGACCCAGTGGTGTAGTCTCCTTAATCTTCTGAGATGGGTACTCATGGAATGTCCCTTGTATGGGTTATGTGGGCCCTCCTGTTGTATTTGGGTCTTAATTGCTGTTGACACATTCAGGCTGGCTGACTGTGAGGCTCAACACTGACCACTTTGTGACAACTGTTATACAAGTGATGACAGAACAAAACCAGGCAAAACAAGACCAAACTGAAAACAATGTGAAAACAAACAAACAAAAAAACACAAACGCCACCAACAAAAACAACCACAAATAATAATAATAAATAGAATACTAAAAGACAAAAGAGCAAAAGAATTAGAGATGAAAAAAAAGAAACCAAAACGGAGAATATGAAAGAAGGAAGAGGAAAGAGAAAGAATACGAATATAAAAAAGAAAACAATAACTACAATAATAATAATTTTAAAATTAATAATAATAAATAAAATATATAATAGGAACAGAAAAATAGGGAGAAAAAAACAAAGGTAAAAAATGAAAAAAGAGGAAAAAACCAGAGTATATGGAAAGAGAAATCAAAGACATGAAAGAAAAAGAAGAAAAAAACTAAAGAAAATGAAATACAAAAGAAAAAAATAAAAAGTTAAAAAGATAAAATAATAAAAATAAGTGGAGTTAGTCTCCGCTGATTTGGGGGCTCACTGTGATTACCCTTTGGGTCTGCTATTTGTGGAACTCGCTGGATTTTACTCCGATGCTGTCTCAGTCTGGCCTCTTGGTGTGCGTGTCTGGGCCTCCCAGAGGTTCTCTGGTGCAAGCCAATGTGAGTTGCTGTCTCTTCCTGGCCCTTGGCAACCTGTCTGAAGCTCATCAGTGCAGCCCCAACTAGTCTGGTGGGCAGGGCTTCCATAGCCCAGAGGCTGGGTCTTCTTGGGGTCTCATACATTGAATGCCCCTGTGGCAGCTTCTCTCCCTTCTCCCACAGAACTGGGCTCTACGGTGGTTTCCAAGACCTGGCCGGTTTGGTAAACAGACGTGCACTGCGGGTGGTGCCCATAGCTTGTAGCAGGGGTGAAGGGCACTTTCTCTCCTTCCTAGGACTGTGCTGGCTTAACTCCCTGGGGAGCTCAGCTCGGTTCCCCCCCAATGCAGCTGAAGGGCCCAGGACATGCCCGTCTATCTCCCAGTCCATAGCCCATTCCGGTTGCAATGCCTCAGCTCTGTTTGGCTTCCTGGTACCTCCTCGCTGCCACACCAAGTAGGAGGGGATAAAAAAATAAAATCAGCCTGGCATGGCACTCCAGTCTTTCAGCGTGTCTGACCCCTCGCTCGGAGGGGCTTTCACCCAGTTTCCCACCGGCCAAGTAGCTGAGTCCTTTGCACCCTCAGACCCAGTCGTAGGAGTACAAATTTTCAGCCCAGAGGCCTCCCCTTTGCCGGGTCGCAGAAGAATGGGGAAGGCCCAGCTGTTCTGCAGGTGGGGGTAGGTTTGCCACCCGTGTGCTCAAGTTGCGCAAGACTGATCGTCTTTCCCAAGCCACGGTGTCCAGCCCCCTTCCACTTTGCCCAAAGTCCTCCCAGAGAGCAAAGGGCTGCTCAGATTCACTGCTGGGTGTACCAAACAGATCCCTCCGCCAGCTCCAATCTTTGCCACGTGGTCCCTCCCTCACACGTGAATTGCAAGGATCTTCCCAGGCTGATGTTGTAAGAAAGAAATCCTTTGTTTCTTTCTGGGATGGTGTGGTTTGAGACTTCCAGGTGGACCTGACCGAATCCCCACTGATTCCCACTGCCCAATCTACATGGGCCCCCCTTTCCTTCTCTGTTGCTCTGGATTGGGGATCCCCGTGTGGGGCCGAGAATCCACCTCCCGGGGGATGGGGAGGTGGAGGTGGTGGTGGTGGCTCTGCTGCTGCACGCCCCCCCCCCCCCCCCGCCTCCCCCCGCCCCCTCCCCGCCCTGCCTGCCCCATACTGCGCAGGTGTGCGAGCTGGCTCACCCTCTCCATGTTTCCTCCTGTCCTTTCTCCACATTCCCTGCCTACAATATTTCAGACCAGCTACACTTCAGCTGTTTTTTTGGTTTTTTTTTAAGCCAAGTTTAGCTGCAAGACTGGTCTGATGTTGGGAGCAAGTGGACGGGCTGTACTATGTATTTTTGTAAGGTAACTCAAATCTTCCTTCTTGAAAATCAATCATTTGTCTATGTGAAACTCCAATGTCACTCATAAGGAGTTGGCCCCCTCACCAATTCAAACTGCTGTCATTTTTGTTGGCTTCACAAGTTTGATAAAATATAAATTAGAAGCATTTATTTCATTTCTGGTTTCATTTTGGAAACAAAGACTAATAAGATTAAAAGTTGAAGCAACAGCCGAAACCGGTTTGGCTCAGTGGATAGAGCGTCGGCCTGCGGACTGAAGGGTCCCAGGTTCGATTCTGGCCAAGGGCATGTACCTGGGTTGCGGGCATATCCCCAGTGGGATATGTGCAGGAGGCAGCTGATCGATGTTTCTCTCTCATCAATGTTTCTAACTCTCTCTCTCCCTTTCTCTCTGTAAAAAATCAATAAAATATATTTAAAAAAAAGTTGAAGCAACAACATGTTCTTTGGAAAAAAATTAATATAACATGCTCTACAGTATTTTGTGATTATTGGCTTTATTAACATAGCACAATTAATCTGATATAAAAATGTATAATTAACATGTGATTATGACAAGTTAAAATTTATTCTCTGTTCCCTATATTGCCATTTAACTGGAAAAACAAATCAACAATGAAATCTTGTCATCTTACAATCAATTTGAAGTCGGTTGTTCAGGAATAACAATATGAAAGAAATTGTAGACTGGAATGTATTAAACTTTATCAAAACAAAAAGGTTTAATCCAGTCTGGCTCATAAAGTTAGAAAATGTTTATGATTTTTGAAAATTCATTGGAACTTTTTCCCTAAGCTGGTTCCTTTGTGATACATTTTCTTGAGGTCTACCCACGACTGCCACAGCAACAGCCCTGGGACCAGAACCCACACACTATTGAAGAACACCAGGTAGACCCAAAAGTACAGCCGATTGTTGGTGTGCAGGTTGGGGCTTCCCATAAGCCACTCCGGGGAGAAGGTCATCCACCCGCCGTACAATTCACACACGCACAGAGCGATCTGTACGAAGTGCCTTAAAGAGAAAGAAAGCAGGGATGAAACCGCCAGCTCAGCGCCCTGAGTGATGACAGCATCAACAGTCTCCCAGGACAGAAACCCTCTGAAGGTGGCCTTCAGCTTCCATGTGGTGCTCCTTTACAGGGCAAGTCAATCTGATCAAGGAAGACCCGAGTTTTCCTTGAAGAAGCAGCACTGTCCTCTCCAGAAGACTATTCTCTGAGTTGAATAAGGTCTCTCGGGCATCCTCTTCTATTCTTAGGGGGATTTACTGAGACCTGGATGTGAATCTCTTTGTGAGCTACAATTTCACCTGTTGTAAAAGGGATAACAGTCCCTTTCTCAAATAACCTTTTGGAGACATATGAGATATGGTCCAGCCAGTGTGGCTCAGTGGTCCAGCATCGACCTGTGAACCAGGAGATCACGGTTCAATTCCCGATCAGGGCACATGCCTGGGTTGCAGGCTTGATCCCCAGTGTGGGGTACGCAGGAGGCAGCCAAGCAACGATTCTCTCTTATCATTGATGTTTCTATTTCTCTCTCCTTCTCCCTTCCTCTCTGAAATAATAAATATACATATATATTTTTTAAAATATGAGTATTATTAAAAAATGAGACATGTAGATAAAAGGCTGAGCACCTTGCCTGGCACAAAGTAAATACTCAACAATGCAGATATTATAAATGTTTGAAATAATAAACAAATGGGTGCATGTAGTAAGTCTACAATCAAGACTCTGGAGTCAAAGACATGTCCAGGTACCGAGGAGAAATTTAATTTTTACTGCTGAGAATCCATGTAAAATTGGGTGGGGGAAAAGTGGATTAAATGAGCCTTGAGGTCTCTTTCAAATCTGAAATTTTATGATGAAGCTTTAAATAAACAAAACTTATTCAATACAAGATAGTAGAACACTGAATGTAACTGCACCTACCTGACATTGTTTCAGGGAATCATCCCCAGGTTAGCAATCTATTTACCCCAGGTCACTTTGTCCTTAAGGAGGAAAGGAAGGAAAAGGGAGGAAGGGTGGTTGAAAGTCTGAGTCTGACTGATGGATGGTGAGTCATCCACCTTTCTCCTTCCTCTCCCCATGCTTCTGCCTTCCTCATAGCCTCAATACCAGGGGTCCTCAAACTACGGCCCGCGGGCCACATGCAAATACAAATATTGTATTTGTTCCCGTTTTGTTTTTTTTACTTCAAAATAAGATATGTGCAGTGTGCATAGGAATTTGTTCATAGTTTTTTTTTTTAAACTATAGTCTGGCCCTCCAATGGTCTGAGGGACAGTGAACTGGCCCCCTGTTTAAAAAGTTTGAGGACCCCTGCTCTATACCCTAGAAAGATTTCTTACTTATCTGGCATGTCTAACTCAGAATAACACAAGAGACTGTACTTTGTAGCAAGTGGAACAGGAGTTTTCTAGTGTGATTTGGGGATGGGGGAGAGGATGGAAATACTACCCTTTTATCCGCCAGAATATCGGTGCAAATCATCCAGTGCTGTTAACACCAGGCTTGCCTGTACAGTGCCTAGGTTGTTACCTCAATCATATTTCTCAGATGTTTTATTTTGAACTGTTTGAAATGGTCCTACTGGCACCATGATCCTTATCTAATAAGAAACAATTTTTGTTTCTACTCTACTTTTTGTCTAACAAAGAAATGTGATCATAATCTCCTTCAAATGTCATGTAAGCATTGGGACTGCTAATGTTTCTCCTCTTTTCAGCAGGATAGGAGCAGAGCACTTACCGATAATATTTCTCTTTGACTATGGCGTACATGAGGACCAGTGCCAGAGACCCATCCAGGACAACAGTCAGAATTTCCACAGACACAATGGTTGGGTCAAAATTAACCCATCTTGCATCAGCTTTGCCATATTCTTTCCCTAAAAACAAAGCACACTTTGTTACTTATCCTTTTTATGACAGTCAATGGAAATGACCCTTTCCCCCCCCCCTTTAGGATGAGATAAAAGGAATAGCTACCATTCTCTCTGCATTCTTCAGAATGCCTTAGTGGAAGCAAGAGAAGCCCTGAGACAAAATGCATTTGCCACCTAACACAAGTAACAATAACAATATTATGTTATACTAGAGGCCCGGTGCACAAAATCCGTGCACTGGGGGTGGGGGGTGGGGTCCCTCAGTCTGGCCTGTGCCCTCTCACAGTCTGGGACCCCTCGCTCCTTACCACCACCTGCTTGCTGCTCCCTACCACTCAGCTCGCTGCTCCTTAGTGCTGCTGCGGAGGTTCCCGCCACCTCCACTGCACTCGCCAGCCATGAGCCTGGCTTCTGGCTGAGTGGTGCTCCCCCTGTGGGAGCACACTGACCACCAGGGGGCAGCTCCTACGTTGAGCATCTGCCCCCTGGTGGTCAGTTCATAGCGACCAGTCATTGCACCGTTTGGTCGATTTGCATATTAGGGTTTTATTATATAGGATTGGTAAAATAATTTAGTCTGCAAAGTGTTTTCACATGTGTGCCCTCTTCAACCCCCCTTTCCATTATAAGTAGCAGAATTCTATATTAATTCAACATAATCAGATTTTGCAAAGACAATCCTATATAATAAAGGGGTAATATGCAAATTGACTATCACTCCAACACACAAGATGGCCACCACAAGATGGCCAGCAGGGGAGGGTAGTTGTGGGCAATCAAGCCTGCAGAGGAGGTCAGTTGGGGTGACCCAGGCCTGCAAGGGAGGGCAACTGGGGGCAATCAGGCCTGTAGGGGAGGAAAGTTGGGGGAGACCCAGGCCTGCAGGGGCGGGCAATTGGGAGGGACCAGGCCTGCAGGGGAGGAAAGTTGGGGGCAACCAGGCCTGCAGGTGAGGACAGTTAGGGGCAACCAGGCTTGCAGGGGAGTGGTTAGGGGGTAATCAGGCTGGCAGGTAGAAGCGGTTAGGGGCAATCAGGCAGGCACGCAGACGAGCGTTTGGGAGCCAGCAGTCCCGGATTGTGAGAGGGATCTCAGATTGGAGAGGGTGCAGGCTGGGCTGAGGGACACCCCCTCCCCCCATGCACAAATTTTGTGCACCGGGCCTCTAGTCTTTAATACTTATCTTGTAAATACAATATAATTCCTTACTTTAAAATTTCGATATAAAGTCTGTAAGTATAATTTAAATATCGGAAAATTATTATTAAGGATATGTTTATTAATAATTGAAGGAAATTAAGTGCTGAAGTGGACAGAAGGAAAGGGAGGGGAACAATATAGCCTGGACTACAGAATGAATCCAAAATGGACAAAAAAGGCATTTCAGTTTGCTACAGGGACAGATTCACTAATAACTACCACCAAATCCTCAATTGTGCAGAGGGGGTGGGCATGCCCGAAGAAATTTTCCAGACCCTGCTGTCAAGATGGTTCTTTAGAAATCACCATGAGGTGTGCAAGCTTTAGAGTCGGACTGAGAGCCAGGCACAGGGCGAGGCCATACTCCCCTTCCTCCCTCCTTTCTTTTTTTACCTTCTTCTTTCTTTCTCTCTTTCCCTCCCTCCTCCCTCTCCCTCCTTCCCCCCTCTGTTCCTCTCTCCTTACTTCTCTCTCTCTCTCTCTCTCTCTCTCTCTCTAATATATTCTGGTCCTAAGATCTCAAATAATCAAAGTAAACAAACGTTCCCACTTCTCTCCATATAAATCTGTTCTCGCATTATTTAAAAAAGGTATGAATGGTCAAAAATTAGCAGCATGTTCTGATTGGGCTGAGCTGCACAAAGCCCTAGCCCAGTGGTTCTCAACCTTCCTAATGCCGCGACCCTTTCATACAGTTCCTCATGTTGTGGTGACCCCCAACCATAAAATTATTTTCGTTGCTACTTCATAACTGTAATTTTGCTACTGTTATGAATCGTAATGTAAATATCTGCTATGCAGGATGTATTTTCACTGTTACAAATTGAACATAATTAAAGCATAGTGATTAATCACAAAAACAATATGTAATTATATATGTGTTTTCCGATGGTTTTAGGCGACCACTGTGAAAGGGTCGTTCGACCCCCAAGGGCCAAAGGGGTCGCGACCCACAGGTTGAGAACCGCTGCCCTAGTGTCTTACCGGCCAGAGTTAGGATCCATTGGGGGCCAGGGACAAAAGGGTTCTAATGAAGGGCTATTCTGAGAGAAGGGATGGCCAGTAAACAGGATTAGCTATTTAATGGAATAACACACAGACACAGCAGGCCAGGCAGAGCCTGCCAGCTTGTCCTCAACCAACTGCCAGCTATGAACTAACTGGAAAACAACATAATAGTGAAAGCAAAAAATTTTCCTCTAAACTTAAACATATATACAATAGGCAAAATGTACCCTCTATGCATCCAAAAATCTAAGAAAACATCACAAGTAAAATGTCAATGCTTTAGGAACTAAGAGGTTAGTGGGTGCTTAGACATTCAGAAATATAACACCATTCATTAATTCTTTAATTCAACAAATCTTTTGGAGCACACGAGGGTTCTGTGCTAGCAACGACTAGGACACAACGTCCGCTGCAAGTGGCTCACATTTTAGTGAGGTCAGACCATGCAATGGGTGATGGTGACAGAGTATGGGGACATGGAGGAAGTGGCAGCTAAGCCAGACGCGGGAGGTGAGGTGTTTCGATCCCTCCCTCTCACCTTGTTGGTGAGGGAAGGATTCCCCGCTAGTGTCATGGGGATGACACAGTACACTACACACGACGCTGGGCAGGTGAGACTGATGGCAGATTCTTAGCCACATGCACTCCCAGCCTGGGGAGGAGGGCACTGCGCCATGCGGGCCACGTGGGGCTGCACTTAGAAATGGAATGACAAGGAGGGGCTGGGAGAGGCAGGCTGTGTGGTAACAAGAGGATGGGGTGACCTCTGGTCCCTGTGGCAGGAGGTGATTGCCCGTTTGAATAATTCCGAGGGCTGGCAGGGAACTGAAGCCCACTACTCAGGGATGGTAGGCACTGTGCCTGGTCCCCGCCACATAGAAGGTCGTTTGGCTGAGGGACCTGATATGAGGAAGCAGGGTGGGGAAGGGACTTGCAGGTAGGCCATCTGGGCCCTCTGGATTTTACCAGATGTCAAGGCACACATGACACCGGACCTTCATTTCAGGCCTTACACCACACGGGGTGACTCCTGAACTGGGCGAAGGGGAAGGGTATGTCAGGGAGAAGCATGTGTAAAAGCCTGGAGCTGAGAGAACATGGTGTATCTAAACCTATATTTAATTCAGCAAAACTGAAGAATACTTCGGGGAGGGGGCGGAGGAAGGGGGGAGCCAAGGTTAATGCTGAGAGGAAGGCAGGGGGTTGGACAGTAATAGTAGGCATTGCTACCTATCTGTCCCAGCATATCAAGCCTCTGGTATCTCATCATCGACTGCTTAACCTTAACCATGTCTTTGCTGGTTAATTACAGCATTAACAAGCCTAATGCTGTGATCATTTATCACTTGCTTTGTGACTGACTGCCAGGTTTAGAGGGAAGGATGCACACGAAAGGCTGGAGTAGGTCTCCAGGACCCAAGCCACAGCCGTGCCCTTCCCACAGAGCGGAGGGTCGGAGGTGATGGGGCAGCAAAGACTTTCCGACTCCTCTGAGCTTCTTCTCAACAGGACCTCGAACTTGGCCTTTGTCCTTGGCCTTAGTCCAGTTTTAGCGAGAGCGGCAGAGTCAGTTTAGTAAAAGTCCCCCTTCTGGGTATCTCTCTTTTCCAGTTTTATTGAGATACAGTTGGCATACAGCGCCGTAAAAGTGTAAGTGTACAGCATAATGGCTTGACTTACATATATTGTGAGATGATTAGCATCCCTCATCTCATATAGATTTAAAAAAAGAAAAAAATGATTTTTTGTTTTTTCCCTGTGATGAGAACTCTTAGGATTGATTCACTGTCTTAACAACTTACAGCAGTGTTAACTATAGACATCGCATTGTACATTACATACTTAGTACTATTTAACTTGTAACTGGAAGTCTGTATCTTTTGATCACCTTCGTCCAATTCTCCCACCCTCTACCCCCTGCCCCTGGTAACCACAAATGTGATCTCTTTTCCTGTGAGTTTGGATTTGTTTGTTTGTTTGTTTTTTAGATTCCACATAAAAGTGAGATCATACAGTATGTGTCTTTTTCTGTCTGACTTATTTCACTCAGCATAACTCCCTCAAGGTCCATCCACGTTGTCACAAACGGCAGGTTTTCCTTCTTCCTAAATGGCTGAGAAATATTCTATATACACCACATTTTCTTGACCCACTCACCAGTGATGATCACTTAGGCTGCCTGCATGTCCTGGCTATTGTAAACAATGCTGCAATAAACATGGGGATGCAGACATCTGATCAAATTCCTTATCCCCCACCCTCTATATCTTCTCCCGCCGCCTGCCTTCAGCAAGAATCCTATTAGTGGGGCTACCATGATCCTCCTAGGCTTGATGTTTCTTCTTAGTAATTTTCCATCCACTAGCCCCACCTTGGCCATAAATCTCCACCTCTCCTTGCTGTATTTGGAGTTGAGCCTGATCTCTCTCCTATGCAAAGCCCCCCCCCCCCACCCCCGCCCCGCGGTGGTCCCTCTTTTTTCTTTTTTTTCAGTGCTGATTTTATATATTATTTATTTATTTATTAATTTTATTGTTGAGATTATTACAGATGTCCCTCTTTTTCCCCCCCATAGCTCCCCTCTATCCGGTTCCCACCCCACCCCAGGCCCTTGCCACCCTATTGTCTGTGTCCACAGGTAATGCATACATGCATATGTGATCTTTGTCTAATCTCTTCCCGCACCCCCACCCCCTTCCCTCTGAGAATAAACAATATGAACAACAAAGTGACAACAAATAGATATCAATAAACTGCTGAATCTAAAAATCAAATGAATAAAAAAATGATGAACAGAATAAACTGGTGAATGGAATAGAATCAGGGGCATGGAAATGGAACAGACGGATGGTCCCTCTTGAATAGTCTTTCTGGCCATTTTTTAACAAGTGTCATGAATAAGATTTTCTTTACAGCATCTACATAGTGTTAACAGCCCAGTTCTACATTCTGCTGGATCAAAAGAGTCCACAGATCAACATGGGAGGCTTTACCCCAGACCCTCGGAATCAGGATCTGTATTTTAAAAGTCTCAGGCAATTAGTGCTCTTTAAAGCCCAAGATGCACTACTTTATAATACCTATTGGATTTTCACATTCTCTAGAATAAAGGCACCCCCATGAGATGAGTTTTCACTTTTTATAGGTGAAAATGTAAATTGAAGATGACTGATAAAGACTGAATTAGACTTTACATTTCATGGGATTGAGCCAAATCTGGGCTGTTCCCTTTCTCTGATGCCAGCCAGAGCAGCCAGAATGGGAGGACAAGGACAGGCCGGGGTCCTCCAGCCCCGGGGCTTCCCGGCAGTTTATCCCAGCTCACCCATCGAAAAGGTGCACAGCTACACTTTGCTCAGTGCTGGACCTGAAGGAGCTGGACTCCAGGCGTGGGGCTCAGGCTCCTTGAGCTACTACTACTGGCTGGGACCTGAGAGGCATCAAAGATGATCCTGCAAGAGGCAGCCAATCAATGATTCTCATCACTGATGTTTCTCTCTCTCTCCCTCTCCCTTCCTCTCTGAAATCGATGTTTGGCTTTAAGAAGCACTACCTGTGGCTCCATTATCTAGCAGAGTTTCCTAACACTAGTGATAAATAGGAGTTCCAACACAGATCCTGGCTGGGGATATGATTTCAGAATCATAGAAGAAATGAGATAAACAGTGAGGTATTTCAGGCACAAAATCTGAAAGAAGTTATCCTGAGCAAGGCAGCTGTATGATAGTGGCAAAGGACCCTGTTGTCACACAGCTCATGTATTTGTCAGTGTTGACATAGTACATGGGAGGAAGTCAATACTAGCTCATTGAATGCTGATTAATAGTGAGCATGAGGAATATAAGAAAACTAGTTAATATCTCTGTAGAACAAGAAGATTTTTGGAAATTACCTATAAGACATATTTGAAAGTTGATATTAAAAGTATAAAAAACACCCAGTTTAAATACTGCAAACTCTTCAACTTGCACTCACTATAAACATTTAAAATATACATTTATTAAGATATAATGCATGTGCAATACAATTTACCTATTTAAAGTGTGCAATAACCCAGCATGGTGACTCAGTGGTTGAGCATCAACCTATGAATCAGGAGGTCACGGTCTGATTCCTGGTCAGGGCATATACCCGGGTTGTGGGTTTGATCCCGTGCAAGAGGCAGCCAATCAACGATTCTCATCATTGATGTCTCTCTCTCTCTCTCTCTCTCTCTCTCTCTCTCTCTCTCTACTCCTTCCTCTCTGAAATAAAAATATATTTAAAAATAGAGTGTTACCTACAACAATCAAGGCTTAACTACAACAAGACTGTGCACAAAGACCACAAGGGGGTGCACCAAGAAAGCATAAAAAATGCGGAGACAAAGAAACAGGACACAAATGACAGAAATGGAGGAAAGCAAACTGCTGGATATAGAGTTCAAAACTGCACTTTTAAGGTGTTTCAAGAACTGTCTAGAAGCCGCTGATAAACTTAGTAAGGCCCTCGAGAAGACTGGTGAGATCGCCGATAAATGTAGTGAGATCCTCAAGAAATCTAGTGAGACCCTCGATGTTGTGATAAAGGATCAACTAGAAATTAAGCATACACTGACTGAAATAAAGAATATTATACAGACTCCCAACAGCAGACCAGAGGATCGCAAGAATCAAGTCAATGATTTGAAATACGAAGAAGCAAAAACACCCAACTGGAAAAAGAATGACAAAAGAATCCAAAAATACGAAGATAGTGTAAGGAGCCTCTGGGACAGTTTCAAGCGTACCAACATCCGAATTATAGGGGTGCCAGAAGAAGAGAGAGAGCAAGATATTGAAAACCTATTTGAAGAAATAATGACAGAAAACTTCCCCTACCTGGAGAAAGAAATAGACTTACAAGTCCAGGAAGCGCAGAGAACCCCAAACAAAAGGAATCCAAAGAGGACCACACCAAGACACATCATAATTAAAATGCCAAGAGCAAAAGACAAAGAGAGAATCTTAAAAGTAGCAAGAGAAAAACATTTAGTTACCTACAAGGGATACCCATACGACTGTCAGCTGATTTCTCAACAGAAACTTTGCAGGCCAGAAAGGAGTGGCAAGAAATATTCAAAGTGATGAATGCCAAGAACCTATAGCCAAGATTACTTTATTCAGCAAAGCTATCATTCAGAATTGAAGGTCAGATAAAGAGCTTCACAGATAAGGAAAAGCTAAAGGAGTTCATCACCACCAAACCAGGATTATATGAAATGCTGAAAGGTATCCTTTAAGAAGAGGAAGAAGAAGAAAAAGGTAAAGATACAAATCATGAACAACGAATATGCATCTATCAACAAGTGAATCTAAGAATCAAGGGAATACATAATCTGATGAACAGAATGAACTGGTGATTATAATAGAATCAGGGGCATAGAAAGGGAATAGACTGACTATTCTTGGGGTGGGGGATTCGGGAAGAGACTGGACAAAAATCGTGCACCTATGGATGAGGACAGTGGGTGGGGAGTGAGGGCGGAGGGTGGGGTGGGAACTGGGAGGAGGGGAGTTATGGGGGGAAAAAAGAGGAACAAATGTAATAATCTGAACAATAAAGATTTAATTAAAAAAATATTTTGTTTTAAATTAAAAATAAAAATAAAAAAGTGTACAATTAAATGGATTTTAGTAATTCACAGATTTGAATCACCACAATCTAATTTTAGAGTATTTCATTACCCACCAGAAAAAATCTGTATCTTTTATCAGTCACTCTACATTTCTCTCCAACATCCGTTCCCCACCCTCTCCTAGGAAGCCACTAATTTATAATCTGTCTCCCATAGATTCACCTACTCTGGACATCTATAATAATAAAAGGGTAATATGCTAATTAGACCGGACGTCTTCCGGACATCATTCCGGATGTCCTTCCTGACGAAGCCGGGGTCGGAGGGAAGCCAGCCAGGGTCCCGTTGGCTGTGGGTGGACCGAGGGAAGCCAGACCGGGTTCCAGGTGCCTGTGGGCGGCCGGAGGAGGGAAGCAGCCCAGTTCCCGGGTGCCAGAGGGAAGCTGGTGCTGACAGCCAGGGGAAGGAAGGCCTACTCTTGCACGAATTTTCATGCATTGGGCCTCTAGTTTTATATAAATGGAATCATACAAGATGGGATACAGGTACTAATACAGTCACACTTGGAATAAATCTCCTCAAACATTTCAAAGGTAAATATTTGAAATTACTTACACAAGGAAGCAATGAAGCTATCAGAATCAGCAATGTTTCCCATGAAAGACAAGTAGACAAAAGAGCCTTCCTAGAGAGAAGAAAATAAAATAAAAAAATGCTCTAATTTAGCATCACAACCCCAGGATGGCACCGCAAGTACATGGCACTGCCTGGGAGCATCCCTTCCCCCTCCTACCCCGGTTGGTACCTTCAGAGCACTACACTTACATAACCCCATGGGGTGTTATCCTGGAGTGCAGTCCCTGACCTTGGAAATGGATGAATCCAAAGCTAATGTTCATATAATAAATGCTATTTTTCAATGATTGGCATTATAAAATAAGGGGTGTATTCTTTGGGGGAAAATAAGTTGAAATTTTTCCACAAGGAAAGAGCTTAAATGTTATGTTAAATAGGCTAAATTCTGGATTATTCTAACAAATTTATTAAACTTTTGAGAAGTACCTCACAGCAGTTCATTTTGTCTCACTTCACAAAAAAGTCCAAGATCTCTCTTAGCAAAACTGGCATTCAAATACCTATATCATAATTAAATTAGTTATTTTTCCTGCCTAAGGGCAGACTTAGGAACGTTTTAAATGCTTACAGGCTACATTTTAAATTTTAAGTAATGAAATATTTGCAATTACACTGAGCATTTCTCCATCGCTGATGTATTTCTTCGCACTAAAGTTTCAAAAACCAATGAACTAGAATTCACTGGGATATTTGATTGTCATGTTGCTTCTTGGAACAAATTCTGTTGCTGGTCAATACTACTACTTTTTTTCTCACTTCTTTTTACCAAAGCAATCACTTATATGACATTAAAATTGTGTCTCTGACTAATCCTTGCTCATTTCCAGTACCACTTCCCAGAGGTTAGCACTTATAACCACTTCTGTCTGTAGTTCTGGGGATTATCTCCATAACTTACACTATTTCTTTCTTTTCTTTTTTGGTTAATCCTCACTGGAGGATTTTTTCAGCAATTTTTTGTTTTGTTTTTTGGTTATTCCTCATCTGAGGATTACAGGCGAGGTGATCACCCCAATAAGTCTAGTACCCATCTGTGAGAGAGACACATCAATTGGTTGCCTCCTGCATGCACCCTAACCGGGCCGGGGATGCAACCTGCAACCCAGGTACCTGCTCTTGCCTGGGAATCAAACCCCTGACCCTTCTGTGCACAGGCCGACTCTAACCACTTAGCAACACTGGCCAGGGCTACACTGCTATTTCTTTAGGTATTATCTACAACTGCACATCCTGGAAAATTATGACTTAGTTTATATTGCTTCCCTTCCCTATGCCTTCCAGTATTTGATAGTATAGTGAAGGAAAAAACTTCTTTCTACCTTCTTAGGCTCTGGAGCTGACATAAGAATCAACCCACATAAGACAGAATAACAGGAGAACAGCATGCAAATTTTATTTAATATTTTACCCCACAAAGCAGGACTTACTTCAGCAGAGCTCTGGTGCCTGCTGAGTCTGCCCCTTGAGTGTGTTACTTGAGGAGGAGGTTGGGTGGTGGTGCTTTCACATGGTCTGAAGCCGTCCGCAGGGTGTGCTGGCTTTGGGTCCTCCCAGGGCCAAGCAGCATGAGTTGCAAAGTGACCTGCAGATGGCTGCTACTTGTGCTGAGCTTGGAGGTGCCCAGGCGAGGCCAAGCTGTGAACAAGGCTAGACAACTCAGTTTCTCCCCATATGTCTCTGCAGACGGCTGCGGCCCCAGCACTAGAGCTCAGAGGGAATGAGTCCAACTAAGTCTATACACAGGTTCTTTAATAGAAAGTGCCTGAGACTCCAGCAGCGCTCTGTCTCGCTCAGCCTCAATCCCCCCTGGTTTTTACAGCCAGAAGTTATGGTGACTTCTCTTCCTGGCACTGGAATCCTGGGATGGGGTCCTGGGATGGGGCTGGTATCCCTTGCACCTCAGGGATATCCCTCCCAATTTTTATCCACCACATGTGGGTGTGAAACGAGCCTGTTCCATATCTTCATCCCTCCTACCAGTCTCTGTCTGGCTTATTCTTTAATTCTCTAGTTCTAAGAGTTCTATTCAGCCAGATTTCAGGTGATTCTGAATGACGGTTATTGGAGGATGGGAATACTATGTTTACCTAAATCACCATCTTGCCCAGAAGTCCTAAATGTCTGTGTGTTTTCTTTTCTTTTTTTTTTTCCCACCTGTTCTATGGTATTTTTGTTATAGCAGCCCCAGCTGGCTGAGAGAGCAAGTGCTGGTGAGGATGTGGAACAACTGGAACCTCAAGTATTGTTGGTGGAAATGGAAAATTGTAGAGCCACTTTGGAAAACAATTTGGCAGTTCCTACTCTAGTTAAAGAATCCCACTCCTAGGCACTTACCCAGGATAAATAAATGTCCACAACAAAGATTTGTAAGCAAATACTCATAACAGCATAATTTATAACAGTAAAAAACTAGAAACAACCCAATTGCTGATTAACTGGAAAACAGAAAAATAAATTGGTATATATCCACATATCGGGATACTATTAAGTAAATTATGCTAAATAAAAGACTACATACTTTATAGTTTCATTTATATGAAATTCTAGAAATAGCATACCTTTAATAACAAGAAAGCAGATCAGTGTTTCTTGTCTTTGTTAACATTATCAATAGTACATACATCAGCCAGATTCTAAACCTCATGATCATCTCTACTCCCAATGTATAAGCCATCACGTTGACTTACACAGTTCTCCCCTTGAAAGTCTCTTATACTTAGTTTTCTTCCCCACTTTAACTTTCACCACACCTTAGTGCAGCTCTTTTTCATCTCACTCCTAAAATACTGCAATTGCTGATCTTTTTGCTCCTTTTAACTAGCTTTTCCAATCCACCCTGCACTATGTTGGGAGAGAATACTCCATAAATATATTCTACTCCTGCACTGTCTGGGGTCTCTGGGCACAGGCGTTTACACCAACTGAGGAGGCATTATATGAGGAGACATTCCAGGTTAGTAAAGCGTAGAGACCTCTCCTCCTAAAATATTCCAGGGTGATAGACGTAAAGATCTTGCCCCCTCCTCCCCAGAGAAGATCTGTTTACATTCTAGAGTAAAGGTCTTTCTCCAGAGAGAAGTATGAGCAGGTCACCAGCAGCTACGTAAGATGGGAGCCTAATTTGGGGTTCCTCCCCTGTCATGCACCCACTGTATGTGCAGGTACCATCTGGCCCTCCCTGCATTGCCCAGTGGTACTTGAAAATTAATCTGACTAACTTGTAAAAAGGTTGAAATCTCAGACCCTTTACAGTTTCTGATTTAACACATTACCACCAAATTATCGTTAGAAAGATCTGCTTTGGCCATGCTACTCCCTTGGCTGAAACTCATCAACAGCTTCCTACTACAGAATAAAATTCAAAGTCTCACATATCATTCCAGGTCCCTTACCTGTTCCCCAAATTTATTCCGTAGGTAAACCCTGTGTTCTAGTCAATTTGGACTTCAAGGTCTTGCCCAAACACATGAATACACATCCGCCTTTATGCTGTGTCCACACCTAGAATGCTGTACTTAGGTTGCAGATGAGGAAAAAACCATGAAGCCCCAGTGCACGAAATGCCCACAGCAACCTTTGAGGAATAGTGAACCACACCATTGGTTTTTTATGTACTAGTTAGTATATTGTCATGGCTCTTACCAGTGTACTACTGGTGGGAAATTGGCCTGCCTTCATCCTAGGCCTACCCAACTTACCTGAAGACCAGTGCAGTAGCCTGAGGTAACCACATTCTGATTGGACATCAGGGAGCTGAACTACCTCTGGGAATGCTGGGCTTGGAACTCTGTGGACAGGGGAGCTCTGCATTTGATGGCGGCCATTAATCCCAACATCTACCATTTGAGAAGTGAAGTTTACAGGGATAAGGAGAGAGAGCCCAGGTTCTAGTGTGAACAAGTGAATTGTGGCTTCAGTTTTCCACCAAGCTTTATATTCCAGTCTTAGCTCAGGCCACATTTCTGGGTCTTCTGGCAATAAGCTCCCAACCAAAGATAATACAGGTCTGCATTTTTTTGCAGGCCTCAACCACTTAATTCAAGTGCTCTCCTCACCAATCTCTAGAATATGTGTACAAAGATGCTGGTTGAAGCACTGTGTGTAAGTAGCTAAATAAAAATATTCCTATTAAGCCCTAGCTGGTTTGGTTCAGTTGATAGAGCATCGGCCTGCAGACTGAAGGGTCCCAGGTTCGATTCCGGTCAAGGGCACATGCCCCGGGTTGTGGGCTTGGTCCCCAGTGGGGGGTGTGCAGGAGGCAGCCAATCATGAGTCTCTTTCATCATTGATGTTTCTATCTTTCTCCCTCTCCTTTTCTCTCTGAAATCAATAAAAATATATTTAAAAAAATATGCCTATTAATATTAGCTGATTAACTTTTCATGTTTCCTCAACTATAAGATATAGCCCAATTTCAGAGATATAAGATATCAATAAATGGACCACAGTGGTTATGTCATTGATTGTTTTAATATGTTAAAAATGTGCATTTTAGAATTAAAGAATTAAGGCATGGTGCATCATAAAGCGGAACATTTTGTAGCTAGGACAGGTAATAGCACAAGGTAGGGTTGGGGAGGGGACATTTCCTTTGGAACAGGGAGGAGGAAAAACAGGGCAGTGACTCCACACATTGGGCTACACCTCAAGGTGCCACAAGTGGAGATGTGTCTGGTGTTACCTGTAACAGTCTGTGCTTGAAAAGTAGACTAAATTTTAAGCTAGGTGGACATATGGGTATATGTTTTAGTATTTTAACACATTGTTTGCGGGTAGTTTTTATCGCGCGCTAACAGGTGGCGCGGGCCATTTTTGCTAATTTTTTGCGCAAATGGCAATGTTCAGTAAAATTACGATAACTTTAGTTTACGTATTTATATGTTACCCGCATTCTACCGCTAGTCTATAAAAAACGTATTAATACGTGTCCCACACTCTACTACCAGTCAACGAAAAACGTATAAGTAAAAGGTATAAATACGTTTCCCGCATACAATGTGTTAATACATTTTTGTATGTCTAAAAGCCTATGTAATAAAAGGGTAATATGCAAATGACTGAACCGCAGAACAACCAGTGCTATGATGTGCACTGACCACCAGGGGGCAGACATTCAACATAGGAGCTGCCCCCTGGTGGTCAGTGCACTCCCACAGGGGGACCGCCGCTCAGCCACAAGCTGGGCTGCAGCTCTAAGGATGTCTAACTAGCGGGCCTAAGCCATCAGTCCCCAAGGACTCCTGAACTGCTAAAGGGTGCAGGCTGGGTAGAGGGACCCCTCTCCAGTGCACAAATGTTGTGCACTGAGCCTCTAGTATGTAATAATATTTTCTTCTCTCAGTGGGCCTAGCAACCTATTTTACTGCCCCTGTTCTTTGGAAGAATTTGTGTCCAATGACAGCTAAAAAGCCAATTCTATAAATAAAGGAGTTAGGACAATATTCACTCTCTTAGCTTGACATGTTAACTATTAGGAAGAAGGAATTTCATCATTCCAGAAACACCTGATATGTACATATATCCAACTAACATACAGACCTAGATGATTATTGAAAATTTTGCTTTCTATTTCTTTCTCAATACTATAGATCAACCATTTTCAATCTTTTTCATCTCATGGCACATATAAAATAATTACCAAAATTCTGTGGCACACCAAAAATATATATATTTTTGGCTGGCCTGACAAAAAAATAGGTGTAATTTTGATTCATTCACACCGGGTAGCTATTGTGTTGGATGTTGTCATGTTTTTATTTGATAACCTAAGGGGCAAGAGGTCAGTGCCCCTGAATAATCAGATTGCATGTTTTAAAAGTTCTTGTGGCACTTGGGTTGAAAATCACTGCTATAGACGTTGGCTTCACATTAGCCACGGGCTTGCCTAGATTTAAGCAAGGTCAAATTTGCAAAAAAGATATTTTGGCATAATTAAAATAACTTTAAGAAAAAGTGTGTGCATGGGGGAGGGGTATTTTAATAGAATTCCCTTAACTACAACCCTCCTGGCCACTTATAAAATGAGTTCAATTTTTAGGGGCACACTTCCTAAAGCCTGGTGTAATACAGAGTCTTTGTAGCCAGACTAAACAAACGCAGAACCACGCAAGCGTGTGGCATTGCAGTCACCTAACTTTGCAGGGCCTGATTTCTCCTCTGTAAAATGGGGACAATAATAACTGGTTTATGGGGTGTTGTAAAGATACAAAAATTTAATACACAGTATTATGCATGGCACACATTCGTCACCCAATAAATGCCATTACTATTAAGGCACGTGTGTGTGTGGGGGGGGGGGGTCTGACACAGCGCTGTGCGCCCAAGTTCTCCAGCTCCCACTGGGGCACTGAAAAACTCTATTTTCAGTTCAACATTTAGTGTAAGTTACGAAGTCGAGTAAGCCAAGACCCTGAGTAGCTTACACTCAAACTAATATAACAGGACCCAGAAATCACTATTTTCAGGTTTTTATTTGGCTTAAAAAAAGGGGGGGCACCCACTAAGGAAGCTGCGCTCTTTAGAGACTTGGGGACGCGGAGAGGTGCAGCCTCCGGCCAAGGCCAGGACCACAGCGGCTCCCGGCCTCCCGCGGCTCCGCAGACCTCCCGCCCCGGGATGGGGCTGCCCCCCTCGTCCCCGTCCTTTTCGGGGACCCCCTGGGACGGCGGAGGGAGGCGTCCCTAGAGAGGCGCTGTCCGCTCACTTACCAGAGCGCCGTGCACCAGGGCGTCGTAGCAGAGCCAGGCGAGCGCCGCGCGGTCCGCCGCTCCCCGCCCGCGGCCCAGGCGCAGGCCCAGCGCGCAGCCCGCGGCCAGCAGCGCGGCGCACAGCAGCAGCGAGCCGCCCGCCGCGGTTCCCAGCCCCGACCCCACGCCCATGCTGCCTGCTGACCCCCACAGCCGGCCAGGAAGGTAGAGCCGAGAAAAGGGGGTGGGGGTGGCGGCGGGAGGCCGGGTCCCCCGATGGGGCGGAGCTTCTGGTCGGGGCGGGGGCGGGGGCGGGGGCGGGCCGAGGCTTCGCTTCCCGCCTAGCTTCCTGGCTACCCAACCAGCTGAGCCTGAGGTTTTCTGGAGTCGGGATCCTGCTCAAGAACTCACATAACTGCCTGTCCAGGCCTGTTCCCAGACCAGACCCAAAGGACTGGGAATAGAGGGCTACGCTTTTTTGTTGTTGTTAATCCTCATCCCAGGATATTTTTTCATTGGTGTTTGGAGAGAATGGAAGGGAGGGGGAGAGACACACAGAGAGATACATCTATTTGTCTCAGATTGATTTGGTTGCCTCCTGCAGGAGCCCTGACCAGGGCCTGTGATGGAGTCTACAACCCAGGCACCTGCCCTTGACCGGAATGGAGCCCGGGATCCTGCAGCCCGCGGGTGGATGCTTTATCCACTGAACCAAACTAGCCACACTTTTTTATGCAGTTTTATTTTTAACCAGGTTCAAAACCATAAGCTACAAAGTGAAGCTCAAATGGTGTAAATTTTGCCAACAGACTGGGTAGAATTTTGGGGACAAAAGGTTCTAATTAGGCCCTTGCAAGTCTTGCAGGAGAGGTGATGGCCAAGGGAGTTTTCAGCCACCAGCCACCCATTTCTTTAAAATCCAGAAAAGCATTGAAAGTATGGGGGAGAGGAGCCATAGGTCAAATCAGCGTGGCACTAGATGCGTTCATCTCCGTTATCTAACATCCCAACAACTCTGGGAGATCATTGGTTTCCTATTTTACAGTATGAAAACGGGCCCAGGCAGGCCCAGGACTGAGTCTCCATCATGTTAACCATCCTCTTTACTTTTGCTAACATCTTATTTTTCTTCTTTTTAAAATTTGCTCTTAACTGTTTTCCCTGCTCCTTTCCTTAGGCCTCTGCCATGTAGATACTTAACCCCGGATAAAGGAGTCAGAGTTTAAAAAGATTGCAACCCTTATTGACCATGTCTGTGTTTTTAATTTTGGGTAGCCAGGTGAAATACAGGATGCTCAGATAAATTTTAATTTTAGTTTAAAAATGAATTACTTTTAAAGTATATCGTTGTACTAAAGTATCACTAGGGCATTTATGCTAAAAAGATTTGTTGTTTTAAAATGTGGTATATACACACAATGGAATATTATTCAGCCATAAAAAGGAATGAAATTCTGACACATGCTACTACATGGAAGTGCCTTGAGGACATTATGCTAAGTGAAATAAGCTAGTCACAAAAAAAGTCACACTTAATGAGGTATCTAAAGTAGTCACATTCCTAGACAATAGAATGGTGATTGCCAGTGACTGGGGAGAAAGGTAATTGTTTAATGGCTACAGAGTTTCAGTTTTGCAAGATGAAAAGGTTCTGGAGTGTTGGTTCACAATGTAAAAATACTCAGCATACTGCACTGTACACTTAAAAATGGTTAAGATGGTAAATTTTTTGTTATGTGTGTTTTACCACAATCAAAAACATACTTCTGGGACTGAACACAAGTGCAGTAACTTTCCCCTCTAGTTACTCCCTATATCATTTTTTTATCTACACTAATAAAAGAGAAAGATGCAAATTGACCATACCTTTGTGACACCCACCAGCCAATCAGGAGTGATTATGCAATTTAACTCAACAAAGATGGTGGGTTAATTTGCATATGCAGGTGCCAAGTTGTCAGGGGCAGGATGCTTGTGTCGTTGCCATGGCAGCAACGCAGGTGTTCCGCACCGCCCCAGCTGCTCAGAACTTCTGAGCAGCTGAAGGCAGGAAGGCGGGAAGGAGGCACCAGGCTGGAGCAAAGGTGGTGCCGGCAGTCAGGGGAAGGAACTCCCATTCTTGCACGAATCTTCGTGCATCAGGCCTCTAGTTTATTTATATTTTTAAAAAATATTTTTATTGATTTCAGAGAGGAAGGGAGAGGGAGAGATAGAAACATCAATGGTGAGAATCATTGATTAGCTGCCTCCTGCACGTCCCCCACTGGTGATCGAGTCCACAACCCGGGCATGTGCCCCCACTGGGAACCATGTGACCTCCTAGTTTATAGGTCAACTGCTGAGCCATGCGGGCCGGGCCCCTATATCACTTTTTATATAGCAGATAAAATCATCTTATTTATTTACACATTTATTGCTAGTCTCTTGCCATTAGAATATATGCCCCACAAGGCCAGGGGTTGAGTCTGGCTTGTTTACTGTTGTGTCCCTTGCATCTATTAGGTAACTGATGCCTGATTGAGTATGGTCAATTCTGTTAACTTAGAAAACTTATGATCCCTTTTTTGTATATTCAACATCTTTCTCAACTGTATTTCCCCACCCACTACCCTATATCACCCTTTAGTGACTACCCTGCACTCCCCTTCAGAGTAAAATAAAAACCCAAGAAACTAATTAGATTTACTCTTTTTACATTCTGTTCTTGATCTTTAGTCCTTCCTACTCTAGTTTCCACCTTCTTTACTGCAGTGATGCAACCTCACCCTCCACGACATCCCCGTGGGATGTTGGAACTCCACAGCAATTAGTCCCAAACCCTGTCCTCACTCCAAATGCTGAACCAAGACAGTCTCATCCTTACCCCCTGCTTTCATAACTACCAGAAATAGGCAGAGGATTCAAATCTCTAGCCTGGCCCTCTCTGAGCTCCAGACCAGTATTTCCAACTGCCCCACTTGACAGTGTTACAAAAAAGCTTATGAATGAAATCGCTTCTATTCCCTGTGAGTCTCTCCCAGTGTTCCCTTTCTTATGCTACTTCCATTTATCCATTATGGCCATCCAGAAACCTATAAATCATCTTTGATACTTCCCTCTCCCCAAACTCCAGATCCAAGGCATTGTTAATTCCTGTCTAGTTAGTTGCCAAGTATCTCTTGATACCATTCACTTTATGGACCAAGCTGTTCACCATCTCTTGCTTCAGTGCTTTACTCTCAGTAATGTGATCTCTACACATCACTAAACACAGAGCACATTTCCTGTTTTTATCTTACCAGCCAGTGATTTTATTAAAGACAATTCTTCTATCATCACTCTTTTTAAATAATATCTACCATTGCTCGTAGAATACCAAAATCCTTTATGTGACTTACCAGGCCGTGGGGGCTGACTGCTACTTACTCTTTAGCCCTCCCTTGCTCCCAGTAAGCCTCTCCATTATTTTTGCTGTAGTGATACTTGCTTTCTTTCATTTCCTGAACTCCCCATGGTGCTTCCTAGTTGGCCTTTGTACAGCCTGTCTCCTCTGCCAGAAAGCATTCCCAGTGACTGTGCCCACTGAACTGCTTTTTCTTCACCATCATCAGCTGTGTCATTCTGAGAAAACTTCTCTCTACCTGGTAACAACCTTCACAGAATTGCTGAAAGGATTGGTTGGTACTTCTAAAGTGCCCATACCGGTGGCTGGCACTTAATAAGGGCTCACTGACAGTCTGATGATTAACTTCCTAACTAGGCCAGTTCCCCCTATTTTATAGCATTGAATACACATGTATTCCCCCTAACATGTGTCATAACTTTCATTTGTGTATGTAAGCATCTTGTGCCCTAGCGTAGTACCTGGCATGGGATATGGTGTTCAAGAAATACTTGAATGTTTCTACAGGTTTAGTCAAAATCATTATTTATAAAAGACTAAAGACATGGAAAGGATACAATTGATAAAAGAATCTGATGTTGTTATTAGGAAAACTAGGCTAAAATCAGTATGACATTTATAACTTCTTATATTTAGGTTTGAAAGTGTAAATGCCTAACTACTGAGTAGTCAGAGAGTTGATGACAAAGGGAGCCCAGGCTGACTTGATCACAAATCTAATTATGATGAAGCTGGTAAAATAACTGAAACACTCTCCTTCACATTAATTGAATTGTGTCCAGATAATGGAATATTCCCATCCATTGTACCCAGAAACTAGCCACATCACGCTCAGTTCTTAGGGTTGTTGGAATGCATGAAGCGGACAGGAAGCAGATCCAGGAATGACTTTAATCAGGATGGGGAAAGGCATGGGCGTTAAGGTTGAGGAAGAGAGCCGATAAAAACCAATCTGTCTTCTGCTATCTGGGAACAGCAAAACATCTACTCTGAACCGTGAGTAGTTAATTTATAATGATGGCCATTTCAGAGCAGTGACTTTGTTTAATATTAAGAAGACTTGGTAACAACTAAACCGATTCAACAAAGAACAGGCTCCCCTGGGGTGAGTGCCTCATCATTTGCTTCTCAGACTCCTGACTTGCTCCTGCAGGGATCTCTCCATAAAATGGCATGCCTCAAAAATCTGCTTTTATCTTGAAAATGTTATGCAAAATGTGTCCTTGACTCTGTAACTCTTAAACTTGTATCATCATAAAACTGTTTCACTTAGCATCAGGTAAGGTAAAACTGCTGTCCCGTGAGTCTTGTGCCAAGTCTTCACATATTACTTAGAACAAGGCCCAATTTATTTTCAGGTACCAGTTTGAAAAAAACAAAATTACCCAACTAAGTGGATGGTAATTGGTTAGGGTAGAGAAGAGGGATGTTGTAGAAGAAATTCCTGCAGGAAACACATCCTTTATAGTCTGGCTCAGATATGGTACCTCTGCTTTTAATCTTATTTTATCTATCTATCTATCTATCTATCTATCTATCTATCTATCTATCTATCTATCTATCATCGTCTATTTATTTTTGTTAATCCTCACCAGGGGGTATTTTTTCCATTGGTTTTTAGAGAGAGTGGAAGGGAGGGGGAAGAGAGACAGAGAGAAACATTGAATGTAAGAGATACATCAATTGGTTGCCTCCCACACGTGCCCAACTAGGGCTTGGGACCGAGCCTATAACCCAGGTATGTGTGCTCTTGACAGGGAATCCAACCAGAGACCCTATAGTCCATGGACTGACGCTCTAACCACTAAGAAAAACCAGCTAGGGCTGCTTTTATTTATTTATTTATTAAATATATTTTTATTGATTTCAGAGAGGAAGGCAGAGGGAGAGATAGAAACATCAATGGTGAGAATCAATGGTCGGCTTCCTCCTGCATGCCCCACACTGGGGACTGAGCCTGCAACCCGGGTATGTGACCTGACGGGGAATTGAACCGTGACCTACTGATTCACAGGTTGATGCTCAACCAAAGCTATTCCAGCCGGGCGGTTACGGTTGCATTTAATCATTTCAAATAAACTTACAAGTTTCCTGATGAAGCCAATCTCTCACAATGCTTCAAAAAATGTTTTTCCAAGTATGCTGTGATTTTTCTGGTCCTACTCAGCTTTCCCAGAGAACTTAAAGAACTTCAACTAAAAATGTCTGAAAACCACTGTTCCAAGACAGTGCTGGGAAGACTGTAGTCAATCAGCAGTCTTCACATGCCTTGGTTTTTAGCTACAGAATAAGTTTATGGGTAACTAGTTACCCCCTATTCCCATTTCTACCCCAAGTCCTTTGCAATAGATGAGGCTCAATACTACCAGGAGTTCCCACAGATGAGGGATTTGGGAAATATGGTTAGGGCTGGCCCTGATCTCTCTTGAAACTGAAAAGACAAGGCACATTTTTGTCTCCTCTCTCTGTCTTCTGCACCTGAGGAAAGATGGGACTGTTCATAATACAAAAAGGCATGACTTAGGCTGTCTAATTTGAGTGGAGTTTTGTACAGGAATTGTTTCAAGCTAATGGTTCACACCAAAGGCAATTTAGACCCCCAGGGGACATGTGGCAATGCCTGTAGACATTTTTGTTAAGACTGGGGAGTGGAGAGGTGCTACCCGACATCTAGTCAGTAGAACCTAAGAATGCTGCTAAATATCTTATAATGCACAGGGCAGTCCCCCACAGCAAAGAATTAGCCAGCTTAAAATATCAGTAGTTCAGGGTTTGCGACACCCTGATTTAGGCCAGTTTGTTGAGAGATTTCATGGGCAGATAAAAAAGAGTAAGAATGTGAAAATATTGCATCCCCTTTCCCAAACACTTTCTCTTGATATTGTACTGAGCCCCATTATCTCTATTTATTTATCTAAATCTATATATCCCCTTCTCTATATAATACTTTTTGAGACTCATTCTACCACTATTTTTTTCAGCTAATAAAGTACAAGATTTACATGAAGAGTTCCTTTTAAACTTCAGACAAATGAGTGATGGGTTACACAAAGTACTCCCTGGTTTATATGCCTTAAGACTTACAGCTTAATGTACAGAAATTATACTATACTTCCTTTCTCCAAATAGATTTAATTAAAACCCCCCAGTTCAACTAGGTTAAAAAATTCATAGCCATCACTATAAGACAACTGACATTCATAAATTTTCACCTGCAGTAATTAGATAATTAATCCCCTCAAAAGGACAACCCTTCTGAAGGAAATTATGGCAAATTCTATAGGAGTACTACAATCACATTTATTTACTTATACACTGCCTTCCTTCATAAATAATCTGAAGTTGCATTTTACAAAAGTAAAAATACTTGTATACGCACAATTTCGCTGTCCCTTTGTTCTTTTAATTAATCCAAAATTTCATTTAAAGATACCACCTATATTTTAACAGGTTAAAAATTTCAAATGAGCTTTCTTTAAGTTATGGTATTTAAACCTGAGATATGTAGAGGAAGGCCATGTTAATGATGAAAGCAGAGACTGGAGTGAAGCAGCAATAAGCCCAAGAAGCCAGCGACCACCAGAAGCCAGGAAAAGGCGAGGAAGGATCTCCCTGGAGCCTAGAGAGAGCGAGCCCCAGCCATCACCTTGACTTCAAACTGCTAGCCTCCGGAACTGCAAACCTAAGTTCTGGAGCCACCTTATCTGAGCTCCTTTGTTATGGCGCCTTAGGAAATTAATAAAAATTTTGGTACTTATTTGACACAAAATACTCTTAAATCTAGGACTGTTACTGGTCTTGTTCATCACAGTTGAAAGGAGATAAAATACAATGAAAGAGTAAGTCATAATTCACCTCCACTGTGGCTGATGTTTGAAAAATAGTTCCAAATTTAATTTAACCATGCAGGAAACAAAACTAGAAAATGAAGATACTTTTAGAATAAGTTCTTCAATGTTTTATCATATTTGATAGCAGCTTTTTTTTTATTGGTTACAAAACCTAAGCCCATATACAAAATTAGGAACACATTTAGATGCCTCTTTTGAAAGAACAGTTTAGTCTTTTAACTGAGTTTAAAAAAAATAAAAACAATGCAATTTTTCAACACTGTTTTGAAAACTTAAAAGTGCAACAATATACTTAGCTTTCTTTATCAATGAAATGGCGCAATTCCAATTCAAAACTGATAAGGTCACAACAAATTGAATCAAGCAAATGCATACATACGTTGCACTACTTGATGCTAATGTTCACTTATGTTAGTTTGCACTTAAAACACAAGAGGAAACAGGAATCGGCATAATGGAGGCCCAATTTAATCTCATTGTGTGCAAAATTTAAAAGGTAACTGTCAGTAAGTATGGAAAGTCCAGGAGAAACTAAACTGGAAAGGGGTACAATTCACAATATCAAGAAGATTTAGACTTTAAGGGTTTCACCGAAATTTGTGACCTTAATTAGCTTTGACTCTGTTATTTCCTACTTGTAGGGAACACCACACATTTTCAAAAATTTAGACTACAGTGTCTGAACAGGATGCAGTTACCATATGAAGCTTTAACTCAAAATTTGGATAAAGAAAAAAGGCACAATGAACTTCAACTCAATTTTATGTGCACAAGAGTTGAAAAGTCTGAGCCACCTTAAAGAGAAATTGATTTTAAAATTTATAAAACCTATAAATAATCAGAGGCGAAACCACTATATTAAAACAGATTCTCTAGCAAGTAAAAATCTTGCAGTTTAAACATACACTTGTATCCACTTTAGATACAAGACAAAATTCACTCTTTAAAGTGGCTCCACCTTGGCAGATACATATATTTGTAATGAATGCACGCCTGCTATGTGTTGCTTACCAGTGAAAACACCCCAGCTGATTCACAAAGTTCTGATGGCATCTATTTCATCTTCATCACAGTAAATATACACTCCCCCCCTCATTGGATAACTAAATTAGTTTAGGTTTTCTATCTCTTCACATCAATGCATTGAAAATCAATACCCAGTAAACAATAGCAATAAAACCATTTAGGTGATAGCACAAATTATTCAGTTTTACAAATTTCAAATTCATATTTTTTCATTAATAATGGGGTCAAACAATTTACCAAAAGCAGTGACTGGTATAGTAATACCATATTTTCCATATGTACTTAAAGATCACTGCAAATCAGGTTTATGTTAAATAACTGCAGATTATTCTTCTACACAGATCGTGTCTGAATCTTTTAATATGTGAATATGCTTAGAGTAAGATCTGAATTAACTTTCCCAATACTCAAAGAATGAAGTTTGATGACACTCCTTAATAGTTGCTGGTCTGTTGCCAACCACATTATCAAAAGCACTGGTTACTAAGTAAAAAATGTTTTAAGACTAAATTACAGTAAACATGAAAGCTCCACAGTTTAAACCCAATACAAATCAACCATATTCAATTATCAATTGAAAATGAAAATATTAACTCCTGAAAGCTAAAAGCAAGATTTTCTTTTTTTAACACCACCAATGTGTACTTTAGACCTTAGTTTTTTTCTTTATAGTCAGGGACTCTTGCTTTCAACTTAAACAGAAGTTCAAGTCCATAACAGGTTGCAGCTCAGGTAAAATACCATGCACAGCATTTGATTACTTCAAAACAGCAGGAACACACAGGCTGAAGTAAGTGGTCAAATAGGGCTTGCTGTTCTCAAAAATTAGGTATAATGGCGAAAGCCATCCATAGCTAAAGTTCTTCCTCCAACCCTGGCTTCTGAGGCAGATAACAAACACATCAATTACTGGTAGATGAAGTACAGTTTTTCAAAACTTATCTGTTTAATCAATAATTTCTTTTTTTAAGTTACTTTTTGTGTGTCAGTTCCACCAATGAAAATCATTTGGCTTGTACTTTAAAATCTATTTTTCCACATAAAGAATATGAAAATATGTTTGTGGAGGACAATGATGGAGGCTCAGATCAGGCTGCACCTCTTTAAAGTCTTCCAACGTGTATATACATCATACCAAAGTGTCTTGATCCACAGCGCACCATTTTCCAAAGGAATATCAAGTGGACAGCTGACGTGCCACCACTATGGAATATTCTAAACTGGAGATTGCAGTTGTTAGCGTGTGGCACCAGGGAACAGGGAATAATAGGGTAGTTGAAATTGTTAAGGAGAATTCTAAAACAGTTTAGGAAATCATGCATATGCATTTACAGTCCATGTGATAGTGACTTTTGGCAACTGCAAAGTGACTGAGACATGGCTTGCTTTAGAAGCATCAAAACGAAGAGGCATTTGTGTTTTGGAGCCTTTTGTTGTTCTTCTCATTTGGTAGCCATCTGGTGGTGCTTCATACTGAATGTGGGAAAGATGCTGCACTCAATTGAACTCAAAAATTAAATTCTTTTGTTTGAAGGTTGGCTGTAGGGTCAAAATTGTAAGTACCTCCTTGTGTTGCTTCAGGAATGAGGCTAGGATCTTCATCAATCTATAAAAAGCAAGAAAAAATCCCGATTATATTAAGATACTATACATTATGGTATAAGCAGAACTGATTTACTTCTTAAGAGAAAATTCTGTACAGATGTTTTAACCACCTAAAAATATTTATCAATAATATTATTAAGAACTTTAACAATATAAAACTGAACACATATTTAAAAATTGCCTTGCTCTTAAGTTCCCGTAGCTTTAGATTTATTGTACCTATCTAAACATACCTAATTTCTATAATTACTATCTCTTCCCATTTAACAGATTACAAATGCAACAAGAACTGTTTTTACAAATTTACTATAATGAAGTTTCAGACATAGTATTTAAGAAAACAGATTGGTGGAAAATAATCATTAATTTTTTTAATTTAGAGTTTTATAAATAATTGGGAAAATACAACCTCAGGAGTATCTGATAGAAATATAGTATAACTTAATTCATAATAATAAAAGAAAAACTCTTAGTAAATTTATGTATGTATTAGAGGCCCAGTGCACAGATTCATGCACACTGAGAGGAAATTAATTATAAGAAATATGTTAATATTGCTATTTGCCCTTTTTCTATAACAGAAGTGTCAGAGATGAAAGAAAATTAGTAAAATGTATACGAAAGTAATATATAAATTGATTAATAAACAATAACATGATATAACAACAAAGACATGATATAAAAAAAAGATGATAAATTGATTAAACTACTTCTAATATCTCTGTTTACCACATTAAGAGTAAAAACACTTTCAGAGTGCTTGACTAATTTCCCTTGTGATGAAGTATTTATAACTTTAACTTTGTCACACACTTTTCAAACTTGAGAAAAAGCAACATATAACTGACCATATCTGAAAATGGGTTCAGGTAGGAATAGTCCTACTCTGTCTAGATTGGCGCTAGCGAGAGCTTTACTAGTATATGTATCGTACTTGCGCGAGTCAACGTTTATTTTTAAATTGCCAGTGAGCATCATATGTACCGGTTGGTTGGTCGGATGGACATACAGTCAGTCATTTAGCCTTTTATATATAGATAGGTTTTAATGTGCATGCAGACATACCATACTTTAATATATACTTACATCATCGCCAGAGAAATACTGATCTATGATTTCAAATGCTAATTTATATATATCTTCATTTTCATGTTGCTGTAAAGCTTCAATTTTCTCCAAACCTACCCCCCCAATTAAGCAGATAATAATTAAGCAGATGCAATAAAATTAACTGTGCTCATTTTAATCATGAAAATTCCTAAAGAATTCAGACCACTCTCCCACAGCCCCCCAAAGATAACAGTTTTTCTAAAAAACAGATAAAAACTTGAAGTGCTCTGGTTGGAGGACCAGTATCCCACTAATTTCTTCCTCTTTAGAAGCCCTTGAGGTACCCTGGTCCTTAAGGCAGGCAGTTATAAAAACATCTGAACACTCCATCTGATAGATGAGGCAGCTGTGGCACACAGATGTAAAAGCATTTACTTCAGGTTGTGTGGCATGTTAGTGCCAGAACCAGAACCAAGATCTTCCCGGATTGCTTTAATATAATCATACAGTCCCATATAATAATTTTTATCTTTTTCTTTGTTTTCCAAATGTTACTACTTTTATATAACTACAAAAAATAAGTTTTCAGAAACTTAGGGATTAACCGAGAAAAATAAGAAATAAATCTTTAAATTTTGAAGTATTTTCTTTTAAAAAATGAATAGGGGCTTATATCCTATGGCCACAATGAACTTTGGAAATAATTTTTCAGAATAGTAACTGTACAAGGCCTTCATTTATATTCCCAATATATTTACTCCACATATCAGGTGCACATAATCTATATTGATTTTTTTTTTTAAGAGAGCAGGAGGAGGGGAGAGAGAGAAAGAGAAACATACATCGATTTGTTCTACTTATTTATGCATTCATTAGTTGATTCTTAAATGTGCCCCGATGGGGGATCGAATCTGCACCTTGGCTTGCTAATTATGCTTTTATAACTAACTAGAGACCTGGTGCATGAATTCATGCACAGGTAGGGTCCCTCAGCCTGGCTGGTATTCGGGGCCTATTGCGGCCGATCGGGGCAGGCCAGCCGGGGGAGGGACCGCGGGAGGTTGGCCAGCTGCAGGTTGGCTGTGGGAGTGCACTGACCACCAGGGGGCAGATCTTGCATTGAGCATCTGCCCCCTGGTGGTCAGTGCACGTCACAGCTACCAGCCGGTTGTCGGTCATAACAGGTGCTTAGGCTTTTATATATATAGATTATACTTCTATGACCACTGACAAGACTCCTTAATTTCTAGAATAATTTCTTCTTGTTATTAAAAAAACTAGAGGCCCGGTGCACAAAAATTGGTGCACTCGGGGATAGGGGGTCCCTCAGCCTGGCCTGTGCCCTCTCGCAGTCTGGGACCCCTTGAGGTTGACCACTTGCTGGCTTAGGCCTGCTCCCCGGGGGATTGGGCCTAAGCTGGGAATCAGACATCCCTCTGGCAGCCCGGCAGCCCTCGGGGGATGCCCACTTGCCAGCAGGGAGCAGACCTAAGCTGCAGTTGGACATCCTTAGCGCTGCTGAGGAGGCGGGAGAGGGTCCCACCACTACCGCTGTACTGGCAGCCATCAGCCTGGCTTGTGGCTGAGCAGAGCTCCCTGCTGTGAGAGCACACTGACCACCAGAGGGCAGCTCCTGCATTGAGTGTCTGCCCCCTGGTGGTCAGTGTGTGTCATAGTGACCAGTCATTCCCAGTCTTTCTGCTGTTAGGGTCAGTTTGCATATTACCCTTTTACTATGTAGGATAGAGGCCTGGTGCACGGGTGGGGGCTGGCTGGTTTGCCCTGAAGGGTGATCCGGATCAGGGTGGGGGTCCCGCTTGGGTGCCTGGCCAGCATGGATGAGGGGATGATGGCTGCTTGCAGCTGGTCACAGCCCCTTCAGGGTGGGGGTCCCCACTGGGGTGCCTGGCCAGTCTGGGTGAGGGGCTGAGGGCCATTTTCAGGCTGGCGGGCGACTGAAGCTCCCAACCTCTCCTTTTTTTCTTTTTCTTTTTTTTATTTTTTTATTCTGGGATTTATTTACCTTCTATGGCTGTCACTGGAACTGAGAGCTGGCTTTAGCTCTGAGGCTTGGCTCCAGCTCTGAAATATCGGCTGCTGAAAGCAGGTATCTGGGTTTGCTTGGCTTCTATAATTAAAACACTGTTGCAACTCCAGCTCTGAAGCCCGGCTGGCTGAAAGCAGGTTTCTGGGGATGGTTTAGCTTCTATAACTGCAACATTGTTTCTTAGACTGCAGCTCAGAGGCCGGCAGTGGCAGGTGGGTAACCTTGGCTTCCTCCATCACTGGAGCAAGCAAGCCTCCTGTTCACTTCAGCTGCCTGGCTGCCGGCCACCATCTTGGTTGGCAGTTAATTTGCATATCTCACTGATTAGCCAATGGGAAGGGTAGCGAAGTTACGGTTAATTACCATGTTTCTCTATTATTAGATAGGATACTTCCAGTCTAATGCGTCAACACTGTGACTTTAAGAGGAGTATTTGTGTTTCCCAAAAAACAAGGTGAATCTCTAGGAAGGTTATGGAGTGACCATCACAACCAGTTTTTCCAGAGTATGGACTGTTTCCTGGAAAATCCTCTTGGAATGCTAATGTTGTGAATAAAGAACAGCAACATATTCCAATATGTAACAGCAATGTATCCTAAGTTTTCTTTCTAATTAGTTGTCTTTTAAGGAACTAATATCTCAGAGTTCCATGGCTCAACTATTTTTCTTTAGTAAATCCACTCTTACCTCCACATTCTTCTATTATTTCAGCTATTGTGCTTGCTTCATCACCAGCCATTATCAGAATGTTTTTCAGACCATCTAGAACCACCTGAACAACTTGAGAATCTTTTACTGACAGTAAATTACAGAACGGTGGTATTACATTCTGCTGTACAAGGTACTCAACCTAGACATAAAAAAAAGAAAAATATTTTTATTTACATAATTATCTTTTCCTCAAAAGAACACAGTACAGGGTTTATAAACAATCAATAATTCTTTTTTATTTATTTTTTTGTTCTTTTAATTTTTTTTTTTTTAATCCTCAACCAAGGATATTTTTCCATTGATTTTTAGAGAGAGAGAGAGTGAAAGAGAGAGGGAAAGACTGAGAAATATCAATGTGAGAGAAACACATCGATTGGTTGCCTCCTGCACAAGCCCTGACTAGAGCCCTGACAGGCCAGGGAGGAGCCTGCAACCAAGGTACATGCCCTTGACCGGAATCAAACCCAGGACCCTTCAGTCCACAGGCTGATGCTCTATCCACTGAGCCAAACTGGTTAGGGCCAATCAATAATTCTTAATCATGATACAGCAGTATACTTTCCAATATTAACAATCATAACAGTTAGTTTCTCCAAACTCACTTGATCTTTTCTGCCACTTATTGTTAAGTTGCTAATTGCCCAAGCAGCTTCTTTTTGTGTTCCAAAGTCCCCCTGAAGATTAAAAAAGAAATGATAAAATGAATTTTTTATTAAAAACGTCTTGGTTATAAGATATTAACATACATGATGAACTCATAGTATGACTGACCTTAGCAAGCTGATGAATAATCATAGGGATTAATCCAGCATCTATTACAGCTTGAACTTGTTGTTGGTTGCCTGCTGTTATGTTGGAAAGGAACCACACTGCTTCCTATAGTTGAATAAAATACAGGGCATCTTTATTTGGAAAATTGTATCTTTAATGTGTTTATATAGTTATTTTAATGTAGTTTACATACATAAGAAAATCACCTGCGTTGCATAAAGGGGAAAGCATCTAAAAGTGATTAGGTTATACAGAATCTCCCAATTTAAATAAGGTATAAGGAAATTTCTATTAATAATATTTGGGCCCCATTATCTAGCATTTATCCATTCAATAAAACATATGCCACCTACCATAAGCTAGGAACTATTTTGGACAATGGTGACATGGCAGAGAATAAAACAATAAGAAAAAAAACTTTACTCATGCAGCTTATTACATTTTTGGTGCATGAGCTCCCTCTAAAAGACAGATGATAAATAAATAACTGAATTTCCTAATATTTTGTTAAAACGAATTCTAAGAAAGGTGAGTTGCTTTATTATAAAACTATTTACTTACACAATAGAAATCAACATCTAACTAGGCTAGGATGGGTCTTTATAACTAATCTTATTGCAACCTTAAGGATTTACAAGTCACGAACCAACAGGTTTATTGTAATTTTAGTGTCAAATGTGTCCCTTCTCCCTCCTCTGCAATTAAGACTTAATTATAAATTTGTTTTGCCATCCAATCAGTGTTTAGAGTATATGAGCATTCATTACAGTACTGTTGAAAAGTCTTTTTTTTTAAAAAAAATATATTTTATTGATTTTTTACAGAGAGGAAGGGAGAGGGATAGAGGGTTAGAAACATCGATGAGAGAAAAACATCAATCAGCTGCCTCCTGCACACCCCCCAATGGGGATGTGCCCGCAACCAAGGTACATGCCCTTGACCGGAATCGAACCTGGGACCCTTCATTCCGCAGGCTGACGCTCTATCCACTGAGCCAAACCAGTTAGGGATGAAGTCTTGTATGTTGGAAAATTTTCTAACCAAGATGTTGAGGGAATAAAACCAAGTTGGTAAATTCTACCTCTAAGGTCCCACAATGGTCCCAAGATGCAAATAACACAAACGCTCTAGCTGAAAAATTCTGAAGCAACTACTTGCTGAAGCTGAGTGAGTATCTATGTGAGCCCTTTTTCTTTCCCCCATGATACCTTCCTTCACTTAGAGCGTATTGAATCCTAGGCTGAAACTTCTCTCCACCCATTGCTGTCTGGCTTCCTCACTTCTCAGCTCTGTTTTCAATTATGGAGTACATTTAGCTATAAAAATCACACATATTATTGAAAATTTTGTAACAAAAATATTGGCCCAGAGTCTAAGAAACTCTGGCTTCTTTCCCTTCATCTATAAAATGAGATTTCTGATAACATACTTTTCTATAAGAATCCAACTGTTATAGTCAAGCAACTACATACATATAGCTATGATAGAAGAAATGATTAATTATACTGGCTTGGGGGATGCTGACATTTCAGGCAGCTAAAACTGCATTAAACTAAATACAAATCAAAATCATGAGACACCAGCTCATACCACTAGGTTGGCAATAACAACATCAACAACAGCAACAATAACCCTTATCATTGCTTGTGGAAATGTAAAATGGTACAGCCACTATGGAAACCAGTTTGGCAGTTTCTCAAAAAGCTAAACATAGAATTATCACATGACTTGGCAAATCTAGTTATATACCCAAAGGAACTGAAAGCAGGGACTAAAACAGATACTAGTATGCCCATATTCATAGCAACGTCATTCACAATAGCCAAAAGGTAAGAACAATACAAGTTTCTATCAATAGATGAATGGGTAGACAAAATATGGTATTTATGTCCAACGGAATATTTATTCAACGATAAAAAGAAATGAAGTTTTGATACATGCTTCAACATGAACGAACCTTGAAAACATAGCAATATGAAATAAGCCAGACACAAAAGACTTAAGTACATATTTAACAATTAATTAGTATTAAGCTTGTAACTCAAGCTTGAAATCTTGAAAAGAGCAATTTTTATGATCTTTTAATTTAGGCCCGCATCTTTAGGTCCAATCTAATTTCATAGGGAGATTAAATTATGGTTTTTCTATTTGTTTTTAAGAGATACCAGCCATCTAGTGAGAGATTTTGTATATATTCTCATTGAGTAACTACTAATTTGCTAACTGTTGCTACTACTCAATTTATTTAAATAAAAACCCTAGTTAGTATAAAAGTATTTTTTATTCTGTAGTAATAAGGGTGAGGCTTATAGCAAGCAATTAAAAACTGAAACAAAATAATTACAGAAATAATTTGAAATAATTCTCACCTTAACTGCAGTGATTTTGAAGAAAATCACAATCAAATGGCAACAACAGAAACAAAGGAACAGTTAAAAATGAGATACACAAAGAGAAAGAAATGCACTGAGGATATATGCCTTACTTTATTTATCTTCTCCTTTGGGTGTGACAAAAGATTTGGGAAGTGTGACAGGACATCACAGTTGAGAACAACCTGGGTCTGCTCGTCGGTGCCAGTCACTATGTTGCCAACTGCTCTGAGGGCTGCCGTCTGGGATGGGATAAAATATTTTCTATAAATTTATTTGTTTATGATGAAATGGATTCTATATTGTTCATAATCCTGAGAAAATGTAAAAATTCAAGGGGTGAATGATTTCCACTTATTGCATCCTTACACAAAGTACTGCACAGAACTGAGAAACAATTTTAAACACTAGCCTGTGAAAAATGGAACTATATGGGAAAATTGTGCAGGAAAAGATTCAAAAATTAAAAGAAAATTAAAATAAAAAATGTAAAGGCCCATTTGTAACAGCTGTTTTTATCTATTACTAAACTGGTACCACAGAAAGATTGTAATAAAAGCCTGGAATGGGCATACATTTCCATCTAAGCAGTTACTTTGGCGGAAGTGGGATGAACAGAACTATGAGCCATGTACACCTAATTACAGTGAGAAGAAACTGGAGAGAGAGAGAGAGAGGGAGGGAGGGAGGAGGGAATGCAGTTAGGATGCTATTGCAATTATCTGGAGGGAAGAAAAGAGGTCTTGAACTAAAGTGGCTCAGACATGAAGCTATGTAATCAGAATTGACAGAATTTTGTAATGGAGGGGGAATGAAAGGAGTAATCAAGGTTCCCAGCTTGGACTATGCCGCCTGTCCACTGAAAGGGATATAGGAAGAAGAGCAGTTTTATGGGAGAAAACGATACCTATCATTTTTGTCTGGTTAAAATAACAGTGGAATGCTTTAAGGAGTTCTTAGAGCATATGTCTAAGGCAGCGGTTCTCAACCTGTAGGTCGCGACCCCTTTGGGGGTCGAATGACCCTTTCACAGGGGTCGCCTAAGACCATCGGAAAACACATATCTAATTACATATTGTTTTTGTGCTTAATCACTATGCTTTAATTATGTTCAATTTATAACAATGAAAATACATCCTGCATATCAGATATTTACATTACAATTCATAACAGTAGCAAAATTACAGTTATGAAGTAACAACGAAAATAATTTTATGGTTGGGGGTCACCACAACATGAGGAACTGTATTTAAAGGGTTGCAGCATTAGGAAGGTTGAGAACCACTGGTCTAAGGGCTTAAGGACAATTGGCTAAATGAGTCTAAAACTCAGCGAAGAATCTGGGTGAGATAAAGATTTGGAAGTCAACAAAATCAGGTTCAGCATAAAAAAGCAGAATTATGGAAGACAAGTGCATATACAAAGAACTGAAGCCTAGTTGTTAATACAAGAAAGAAAAATTTTAAAGTACTTACTTGAACTTTCACTTCCTGGTGACTCAGAAGGGGCACAAGAAATGGAACAACCCCTGAATCAATAACCATCTGTATCTGCTCATTACCTCCATCTGTCAGGTATGACAGAGCCCAAACAGTATCTACAAGAATCTATAGGAAGCAAAAAAAGAAAAGAGAGAGCAGTTTATGTATTTGTTTGAATGCTTAAAATACATAATAGACCTCAGGGGTGGTGACATAAAAAGTAATTAAATTTTATGTTTGAACCTGGTTACTTACTTGATAAATCTATTAAGTAGTAGGTACCTCTCTCTCAAAGCCTACCTCAGGATCACTTTTCATAAAAATGAGACAGAAGTCTGGGACAACTTTTACCCCAACTTCTGCAGTTATATATCAGATAGATGAATTTAAAAACAGGCAGAAAAGTAATTCTCCCTGCCCCCACAAATTGAGAACCTAATAATCACAAGGAAGCACTTTATATACAAAATGAAACTAATATACCATGCTGCCTTAAGTCCAGAAGAGACCAAAAAGATAATCTCTCTGTATTAGTGGTTTTCAAACATATCTAGCAATATAAATGATTTTTCAGAATATTAAACAAATCAAAGAAATGACAATGAAAATTACATTTTTATTTCATTTTGAGAAAATTAATTTCTTGCAAAGCTCTTGAAAAATGTCCCCATTTAAAGAGGACAGAGTATAAAACAAGCCCTATATGCATCTAATTTTGCAAATAATAAAAAACAAAAATCAGGCTCAGATTTGTTGATTCATTCAAAGTCAAGCAGCCTATATGTAGCTCTCGTTGGTGTCTTCACAGAGGAATATTGCACAGATTTCATCTCATGTGAAATCTATACATGTTCCTATTAGGCTTATCTAAAGACATTCTTTTGTGCTAAAATAATAGTAGCCACCTGCATTCAAATCTCTCCACTTCTTCAAAAACATATATAGATAAATAAGAGCAAATAAAGCCACATATAGCCTACACTTTCACCATTACTAAGAGAACACTACGAATTTCAAATTACTTCTAAAATTCAAGCTCTTGTCTGGACCTCCTGCCCCAAGCTTGTGTGAAACTTCATAGAAGAGAGGGGGTGACATATGTTAAAGGTAACATATCCTAGTAAAACTATTCCACATTACTGGGACAGAGACTATGTGGCCCAAAAAGCCTACAATATTTTCTATGTCCTTTACAGAAAAATTTGCTGATACCTTTACTAGAGGATGAGCTTCCTTCAACTAAGATGACTACGGAAATATTTCATTGGAGATAAAAGACTAATACAAACGTGGGAATAAGAGTGATACAATAATTTATAAATGCTTTTTGTTCTGGAAAAATGGAAATACTGCAACTTCAAACATGGGAGGACAGACGCTCTGACTGAGAGCTGACCCCATCTACCATCCCACCATAGATCTACAGATAAGTGTATGGGAAGGCCTGCCTACTACACAGTCTGGCTGTAACAGCTAATAAGATTAAAATAGAAATCAGAGACTCGTAACATAGCCAAAATGTACAGGCTGCAACTGAAAATAACTCCTTATATCAAGAGCCAGGATCATCTTAACTCAAAAGGGAAAAAACGAGTCAAAATAAGCTAATACTTGAGATGACATAGATATTAAAATTATCCACAAGAATTTTAAAGTAACTATCATAAAAATGCTTCTATGAGCAATTATGAACATGTGTGAAACAAATATAGGAAGTCTCAGCAAAGAAATAGAAGACGTTAAAAAGAACCAAAGGAGAATTTAAAACTGAAAAATTCAGTAACTAAATTTTAAAACTCACTAGAAGGACTCAAGGGTAGAATGGAAACAGGAAAAAAACAACAAATTTAAAGACAGATCAATACGAAACATGCAACCGGAATAATAAAAATAAACAAAAAATGACTGCAAAAAAAATTGAACAGTTTCAGGGACTTGTAGGACAATAATGAGAGATCAAACATGTGTGTCATCTCAGTCTCAAAAGGAGAGGTGGAGCTGAAAAAATATTTGAAGAAATAATAGCAGAAAATCTCCCCAATTTAGCAAAAGACATAAACCTACAGATTCAAAAATGGGAGGAGGAGACCAGAGAAAACAGAAAACATAAGCTCATCAACTGTTGTATAAGGTAAGAGCTAAGAGTCAAAAAATAACATTTAATGAGAGAGAGAGAAACATTGATGGGTTGCCTCTTAAATGCGCCTCAACCGGGGATCAAACCTGCAACCTAGGTATGTGTCCTGACCAGGAATTGAACTTGCAACCTTTTGGTGTACGGATGATATTCCAACCAAGTGAGCCACCCAGTCAGGGGTCCACTTCCCTACTTTAAAAAATTCTTTTGCATGTTCCTCTTCTGTTGCTGTTGCTGCTCAAATGCAGATGATTCCTTAAAATTCAATTTTTTGCCCCTTTTCTGAATCATACTCCATGTCCATATTGTTATAAATCCCTTAAATACTGATAAATCTTAAATTTGTATCACTTGTTCCTTCTTGGAAACATTGCTATGGAGAAACAAGTAAATCAGAATCGATGTGTTTGTCCTATAATAAACTCATCATCTTCCTCTACCAATCTCATCCTTTTTCTTTATTCCTTTTGATGGTTCATGGCATTAATATCTATTCAAATTGCCAAATTAGAGACAAAAGTAATTTTTACTTCTTCTGTTTGATCATTTCTATTTGAAGTTCCTCACTTTATCTCTTTTTCCTAAATGTAGCAAGTGCTATAATTTTCCAAGGAGTACAACAATGGGTAAATTTCATTGAATCTAGAATTGAGTTTAGAATTGATCTGGCTTCTATTGTTCAAACTAAGATCTCTTTCTGATTTGTTGTATGTTTGTGTTTTTATAATCTTATCTTAGTTTACACACACCCATAATGTGTGTTTGTCCCAGAATTGTGTGATTTATTATTGGGATGAAGAAAACACATCTTTGCTAACAGTTCTTGAGAGGCAGTGTAGTTTATAAATAAACACTAGACCACATTTCCCTAGTTTGTTTTAGGACATTAAGTTCTTAGGAAGGGATCATTTAAAGGTAACTGAAGTAACTTTTTATTTGTGACATATTAGTCTCAAATGTCATAAAAATTAAGCTTAACATTTTTAGTTATATGCTATCCTATTTTCAAAATGGATAGAAAAGTGACTTGGCAAAAGACATATATAATAAATATAAAAGAAAGGAGGAAGTAAAATTATACAAAAATGTATATGTTGCTACTGAATGCCAAATTTAGTTCTATGCTTTCTGACAGCAAAGATTAAAAGGCAAAAAAGTAAAATATCTAATATTTTCATCAAGACTTTCCCCCAGGACATTATGAAATTGATTATACGTAAATAAAGCCTTCTACCATCTGTTGGTTGTGTTTATTTGAAAACCAGGGGTATTAAAGTGGCAAAGTACTGTAGCTATAGGGATATTTGTTAAGTTTAACTTAAACACTCAGAGATTATTCCCCTAAAGCCAGAATTGTGCCATGAATTATAGGCTCAAAGATAAAGAAGACATAGAGACCCTGCCCTCTAAGACCTCAACATTAGTAGCAGATTAAAAAAAAGTGAAAGTAATGAAGTTTTGTCAATGACTATCTATGCTGAACCTATTTCTAGTGTCTCTTTTTATCTTTACTACCACCTTTATGAGGTGTTTTCTTCTATTTTACAAATAAGGATATTGAAACTCAGTAACGTAAACTAATCTAAGTTCATACAATGATGAATAAGAGCCATGGCTGAGACTTGAAACCAGGTTCAAGGCCTATGCTCTTTCACACCATGACCACATAAACACACAATATGGTATAAAAACAAACAAGAAAATAAAGTAAACTGGAGGAATGACCGAAATGCTAGATTATGGAAGCACATATTCTCTCTGGCAACCAGAAAGCTTCAATGAGAAAGTAACACTTGAAATAGGCATTATAAGGAGAAGGATGATGGTAGAAGTGGTAACAGAGGTGACAAACATGATTGTTAATAGTTTGTATTTATTGATGGTTTAAAATATGCCACACACTGTTGTTAGCACTTTTCATTGGTTATCCCATTTATTCCTTACAAAAATCCTCTGAGATTGGTACTGACATTATTTCCATCTTACAAATGTGAGAAAAAGCAGCAGCTAGTTAAGTAATTTGTCTTAAGTCATATAATTAGGATAAGAAAAATTTTGCCAAGTTAAAAAAGTAATTTCAGAAAGATGAAAGATATTCAGGTCTCGATAATACCTGGAGGATTTGAAGAATATAGGTAGTTAATAACCCAACACATTTGTTAGGGAGTTAAATTGCAGGGTTTTGAATCCTGTGTTAAGGAGTTTGGGCTTTGCCTTGTAGTGAGTACAGAGTCATCGATGATTTTTTTAAACATCGTAGTGATGTGCTCCCATTTGTTACAGACATAACTTACATAACTTGGTGAATTTGGAATAGAGAAAAATGAATGTAGGTAGACCTATTTTGTTATTATGGTAGGGTTAAGGAGATTGATGAAGGTATGCCTAGAAACAGTAATGGTTAGGAAAGGCTGTCAGAAAGCACAGAACTAAATTTGACATTCAATAACAACATAAGCATTTTTGTATAACTTTACTTCCTCCTTTCTTTTATATTATCATATATGTCTTCTGCTAAGTCATTTTTCTATCCATTTTGAAAATAGGATAGCATAAAACTAAAAAGGTCAAGCTTAATTTTTATTACATTTCAGGCTAATATGTCACAAATAAAAAGTTATTTCAGTTAAATGATTCCTTCCTAAGAACCTAAAACAAACTAGGGAAATGTGGTCCAGTGTTTATTTATGAATACACTGCCTCTCAAGAACTGTTAGCAAAGATGTGTTTTCTTCATCCCAATGATAAATCACACAATTCTGGGGCAAGCACACATACGTAGTGTATGTGTGTATAAACCAATTTAAGATGATAAATACACAAACACACAATAAATCAGAAAGAGATCTTAGTTGGAACAACAGAAGCCAGATCAATGCTTAGACTCAATTCTAGATTCCACAAAATTTACTCATTGTTGTACTCCATGGAAGAATAATACTTTGCCTTGCTACATTTAGGAAAATTTTCAGATTGCCTACTAAAAACATTTGTCAGAATATATATAGTAAACACAACTAAATCTCATGTAACAAACTATTCATCTAAAAATGCATTTGCATTTAAAACTAGACTTGCCCTGGCTGGTGTGGCTTAGTTGGTTGAGCGTTGTCCTGTGCAATGAAAGGTCACTGGTTCGATTCCGGTTAGGGTACATGCCTAGGTTTCAGGGTCGATCCCTGGTCAGGATGCATGTGGGAGGCAGTGATTGATGTTTCTCTCTCTCTCTCTTTCAAAATCAATAAAAACATATTAAATACATTTATAAAACTAAACTTGTAGTATTGAAGAATTTCAATACTACATACTTCAAAAGGTTGCAGCCCCAGAGGCAGTGTGGTTTCATGTAAAATATACAAGATCTGTTATCAGAAGATCTGTTTTTGAATACCAACTTTGACCCTTACAAACTCTGCAACTCTGGATAAGACAGTTAACATTTCCCTGAAGCTCAGTTTCTTATTTTGTAAAATGGGGACATGATATCTAGCCTACCTATTGTAAGAATCAAATGAGGCCCTGGCCAGGTAGCTCAGTTGGTTAGAGTATCATCCAGATACTGTGGGGGGTTTGAACCCGGGTCAGGGCATATACAAGAAACAACCAATGAATGCATAAGTAAGTGGAACAACACATTAATGTTTCTCTCTCACTCTCTCTCAAGTCAATAATAAAAGAGAATCAAATGAGATTTTTAAAATATGAATATGCTTTATAAACTTTCTACTGCTTTATAAGTATTAATACTTAATAAAAACACACCTAATAATGATACAAATAAACTACATATGTGATATTTTCTATAAAGTTAGCATTTTGCTGCCTGGATGACTTAAGCTATAAACTTAATTTAACCTTAACCCTATTTCTAAAAACTACTTATACATTGTGGAAGTTTGACAATTTAATAAGATATATTCTGATATTTATTAAAAGCCCAACAAATAAATAAATAAAACCCTTCTAGCTTCATTAAGAGCAAAATCCCAAGTCTAAGCTTCTACTTTACTTACATTTATGTCTGTATGGTATATAAGGACACATAATGCTGGCAAAATCTGAGGAAAGAAGATAAACAATAAGTAACACTAGAGTGGATGAATATGTCTTTGTAAACATGAATGACTGATATAAAAAAGCAGTAAATACTATTTGCAGGGTAAGAAAGACAACATTAAATTTGTTTGACTCTCTATTAGTAAAATAGAAATTTGATCAATTCAATCTGAAAAACCAAAATCATATTTCAGATGTCCAATTAAAGTATACAAATACATCTGGCAGAGATTAATGCACCTGAAAGGAAACACGTTTGCTTCAATAACCTTCTTTATGACATAAAATGTCAAGTGGAAAGTTGGAGATGCAAGTATACAGTGTAGCTATTATTTTAAAAAGCTACTCTTAAAATTGCCATCATCTTTTCACTTACTTGCTTAAAGTAAAAATAAGATTTTATTTAATAAGTTAGTTGAGTCAAATTAAAGTTTTTGAGCTCATATTTAGTCAAGAAAATTATAACCAGTACAAAGTATAAAGTTTGTTAGTTGAACTCAAGCCTTACAGATCTTCTTTTTTTGTTTTTAATCTGCGAGAGGAATCACATTACATACTTTTTCCATAACAGCAAAAGATGTCAATTATAAAGATTCATAGTCAACATTTCTCTACACAGTGAAGTGATTAAAGGTTAAGTATGATTTCTAAAATTTAAAATACTCAGATCCATTTATTAACTAGATGTAAATAGAAAAGTTTTTACTTTGTTTTAATTGTAGACTTAACACTAAGTATGTCACACATTTAAGAACAAAAATTTTTTCAGAAATCAGAAAAATTTTAATTTGACTTATTGCAAATTCACTCAAGAATATTTGCATATAACAAGTACACTAGTTTCATCTGTAGTAATTCCTTATTTTTTTAGTGTTAAACCAGCAATGCAATATAATAATAAAACTTTAAGATTTTTTCTCCTTTTTTCTTTTTCTTTTTGAATTGTTAATATTTTCTTTTAATGAAATAGTCATTAAAAATAAGAATTAGGGTGGCCTGACATTCTTTCAGGTGCCATAAAATACTTTCTCTCACAGGAGTCGAAAATTAAAATTAAATGACACGCTACTTTAAAAACCTCACACCTGCAATGAAATCAGTATATACATTATTGCATTCACTGTACATGAAAATCTAAAGCATAAACATAGGGAAAATATACCATCTGGTCTTTGCAACTCTTCATTTACCTCCTGAACTGTCTCCATAGGCGGTGGGGGGTCCTTATTCCTGCAGAGATTGACAATGACCCATGTGACGTTCCGAAGGAAGGTGATGGGAATGGAGGGATTGATGAAGGACAGAAGAGGTTTGACAACTCCCAGTGATATGACATAATCTCTACATTGAGGACCATCACCTACAGAAATGAAAATTGTATTTAAAAAAAAATTACATTCAGGATGAGAAAGTCTGAAATGTATGCAATGGCTCATGTTGGGACACTGATGTTCTATGTTTCCTCACCATTAGTCAAGGGCATCAAGGGTTGCTGTTTCTCCAGACTTTGATTTGGGGGGAACACAAATTTAACCTACCAATCTTAATAGGAAATTGCATATCTGTTTCAAAGAGGTATCATATATATATTTTTTAATCCTCACCTGAGGATATTTTTCCACTGATTTTTAGAGAGTGGAAGAGAGAGGGAAAAACAGAGAGAAATACTGATGTGAGAGAAACACATTAACTGGTTGCCTCCTGCACATGCCCCGACCAGGGCCCAGGCCAGGGAGGAGCCTGCAACCTTGGTATGTGCCCTTGACCAGAATCAAACCTGGGACCCTTGGGTCCACAGGCCAACGCTCTAGCCACTGAGCCAAACCGGCTAGGGGCGAAGAGGTATCATTTTAAGTTAGTATTTATAAGGCAAGAAGATAGTCAACCCAAGTTAAAAATTAGAGGAAACATAGTGTGTAATGGCTATGCCAATGTAGGAAAAAAGTTAATTAAGATTCTTAATTAAAGTCTTTTGAAACCTAAATGCAACTTACCTATAATGTTTCCCAACGCCCATACTGCTTGCTCACAAACATTCTGATGTGGTGAATGAAGAAGTCTCAGAAAAAGAGGTACGGCATCTATAATTTTTTAAAAAGCTGACATTTAGACTGCAAAATGTTGAAGAGTTTATAGATTTTTAAGCCTAAATAAACTGATAAAATACACAGAACCTGGCATAATATAGTTGAATTTAAAAATTGGGGCAAATATTTTTACTCTAAAAATAATCAATTTTAGTATTTTCCTTAGTAATATTCAAATAGCACACCTAATTAATAGTACTGTATATAAAAGTTTCTCTTATATCATTAACTAAAAGCAAAAAGCAGCAATTTTTCCTATACTGTATTAAAAATTTTATCTATAATACATTAAAAAAGAGTTCCTACACCAAATGCATAACCTTAGTCAATGTAATCTCAATTGCTGATATGGGATTAACTACAGAACTGGTTATTCCTATATCAGGCCTACTTTATATTTTAAAATAAGTTATCATTACAATTCTTACTATTTACATAACTTACATGTTAACCCAAATTCTAAAACACTGGTATTATATTCATCCACATAAAAAACTAAGCATTAAACCAGATCACTTTTTTGTAAATTTCTGTCAGTTGTGTACTACCTCTAAGATTATTTGCTGTGTCTCTGCGTTTTTTATTTTTCACTTAACATTTAAATTAAAATTTATCACACCTTTAACAGCTTTATTGAGATCTAACTTACATACAATGTAATGTATGTAAGTGTACAATTCAATGGTTTTTAGTATTTATAAAGAGTTGTGCAGCTATCACCACAATCTAATTTTAACACATTTCCATCACCTCCGAAAGAAATCCCTCACCCATAGTAGTCTTGCAGCCTACTCCCCCAGCCCTAGGCAACCATTTCATTTGCTTTCTTTTTCCATAGATTTTCCTATTCTAAACATTTCATAGATAAAATTGTATAATATATGCTTTTTTGTGTGTGTTTGGCTTCTTTAACCTAGCATGAGGTTTTTAAGGTTCATCCATGTTACAGCATGTACCCATATTTCATTCCTTTTTACTGTTGAAGAGTATTCAATTGTGTACCACATTTTGTTTACCCATTACCTAATGTATTTCCATTTGGGGGCTATTATGAGTACTGCTGCAAACACTTGTGTACAAGTCTTTGTGTGAACATGTTTCATATCTCTTGGTTCCATCTAGTAGTGGAACTGCTGGGTCATATGGTAACTCTACAATTAAACTTTTTTAAAAAAATCCTCACCCGAGGATATTTTTCCATTGATTTTTAGAGAGAGTGGAAGAGAGGGAAAGACAAAGAGAAACACATCGATTGGCTGCCTCCTTCACGAGGCCTGACCAGGGCCTGGGCTGGGGAGGAGCCTGCAACTGAGGTACGTGCCCTTGACTGGTATCAAACCCAGGACTCTTCGGTCCGCAGGCCGACAATGCTCTATCCACTAAGCCAAACTAGCTAGGGCCAATTACTCTTTTGAGAGAAAGGTTACAACAAATAGAAGGTAACCAAAAGTTAAAAATGAAAACAAAACATTGCTATTCAATTCCTACTAGTCTATATTGAAAGACCTAGTTTAAAATCTGTTCCCTTTCTGTTACAGCTAAAAATCTAACAGGAAACTATCTCCTAGACATTATCAAAATATCTAAAAAGAAAACTTCCAAGATAATCCTATCTTCCAAGTAGCAGATATTATATTCACACTACAGCAATATAACTTATTACCATATCATACTAGTAGACTACTTAACATCATCTTGAGTAAACCTAAAGTCAGGCTAGTGTCCCACATTTTAACAGTACTTGGTGACGTATTTTTTTTTCTCTCCCCAAAAAGCTTTTGTCAGTTTGGTCAACACATTAATAACAGCTTTCCTATCTTGAGGTAGGTATACTTTAAAAAATATATATGTTACAAGCTAAAAAGCATTAGCTACTTAAGCACCCTGGAGGTATCAGAAACACAAATTTTAAAACCTGTTATTAGAAGATGGTCTCAAAAAAAAAAAAAAAAAAAAAAAAGAAGATGGTCTCTACCCAAAAAGATAGAACTTTATTCACATTTTAGTAACCACAATTAAAATTATTTAATAATAGATTAATGATACCTATGGGAAAGAGGTCAACCATAAAAAATAGTTTATAAAATTCACCAGTTTAAAAATGTTACAAAATAAAATTACAATAAAACTCTACTTTCTTGTCTTTATTAAAAATAAATAAATAAAAAGTCCAATAAGTAAGGAAGCTAATTTACTTACTAGACTGTACAACAGCTTGAGTCTGTGCAGAAGTTCCTGATGCTATATTAGTTAATGCCCAAGCAGCTTCAAACTGTAATGAAGGACTGTAAAAAAACAACAATAAATATGTTTAGGCACACAACTCCAACTTAAATTTATGACCTGCAGATCTATATGGTTATCCTTTACCTTGTCCTTGAATTTCACCTTGCTATATATCCAACTGCCTCTTGGATACTTCCATCTGAATGTGTCATTGGCTCCCAAAGTGAGTCACTATAAACACACTTTTTTTATATCCATTGGTAGTTGTAACATTTAGCCAGTCATTATTTTTTCCCTTGACTCCTTCCTCACCCACAAACATCAAATCACTCAGTCCTTTCAATTTTATCTCCTAAATATTTTTCTCTTCTTTTTCACCTCCTAAATATTTCTTATATTTATAGCATTATTCCTAATATCACTGTGCTACTTGAGGCTCTTATCATCTCACTTGAATCACTGCCAAAGCCTCTAGACTGGTCTAGACTCTTTGTGACTCCCTACATCTGCTTTACATACTGGAGATATTATAAGGCTACACAACTTTGTAAAAGGAAGAGATCATTGCAATTTGAGATAATAATGGAAGACCTCACAAAGAAAGTGAAAACAACTAGTCTTTCAAAGATGGATAAAGAAAGATACTATGGAAATGCAATTAAAAGTATCATGGGTGGATGACCACGATGTACATAGATGACTAGGAAAAGATCAAGAAAGCTGAAGCCAAGAAAGTATGCAAAAATATAATAGGGGATGAAATTGAGAGGGTAGGTTATCTAAGAGAGAGAGAGAGAGAGAGAGAGAGAGAGAGAGAGAGAGAGAGAGAGAGAGAAAGAGAGAGAATGTGTGTGTGTGTTGTTGCTGGAGTGAAGGTGAGAGGGAAGACTCAAATCCCAAGCTTCAGAATGTATTGGAATTTATTCTATAGACATACTAAATATAGAGTGCTGGTAAAAGGGAAATTTTAAAAAATGTTGGAGGTCATGGTATGCAGAATGAATTTTAAAAGTTTAAAGGCTGATGTAGGAGAAACCTGTTAAAAGGGACTCTATATTAAGTTAGGATAAATAGCTGAAAGAATATAAATTCCTTTAAGCATAATACCAAGTTGGGAGGAGGTGGTAGTGAGCAAAAATGAAGGAGAGCCAAAGGATAGGGATGCAGAAAAACATATTATAGATATTTAAGAAAGAGAGTGAAGCTGTTAGCATCAAAAGGTTGATGAGATCCAAGAAAGAAAAAGTTAAAGGAGAATAAATGTCAGAGATATAGCAAGCACTGAGGTTAAAGAGATGGAACAGATTTGCCCTAGCTGGATTGGCTTAGTGGATAGAGCGTCGGCCTGCAGACTGAAGGGTCCCTGGTTCCATTCTGGTAAAGGGCACATGCCTGGGTTGTGGGCTTGATCCCCAGTAGCGGGCATGCAGGAGGCAGCCAATTAAGGATTCTCATCATTGGTGTTTCTATCTCTCCCACCCCCTTCCTTTCTGAAATCAATAAAAAATAATTTTAAAAAAAGAGAGAGATAGAAGCAGATGAGAAAATGGAGTATCAGGTCAAGAACTACATAATGAATTTTAGCAAAAGGCAGGGAATAACAGGGTATCAGAGGCAGAGGGGAAGTAAAAGAACAATAAGATCAAAGAAGAGATAGTATATGCTGCCCCAGAATGGAAGGAGAAAAGGTTATAAAGCTAGATTCGGCAGTGGTTTGGCAAAATACTGAAAATGAGGGCCTTAAAGGAGAAAAACAAAAAGACGTAAAAAAATCAAAATTATAAAGCCAGGCAAAGTCTCCTAAGACATCATTTGAAAAAAAGAGAGAACATATAGAAAAAATAAATGAGTGCAAGAGGTAATCAATGAATGAACATTTATTATAAGCTTGATATTGTTAGTGTTTTGTACATATCATTTGCATTCCTCACAACCACTTAATTTTTATTTTAAAAAATTCAACAAATTTTAATTTTTGAAATGTTCCCAAAAGAATTATTTCCAAAAGAATTATCAGAAGCATCCTCCAGTAACAAAACATAGTTGGATAATCCATTTACTCCCCTCAAGGAACTAGCTGTGTGTGCTGTGAGGTAGCTAAGATCTTCTGTGGAGATGGTACTCTCAATGTATAAGCATTCCTTCTTCACATGAAAAGTGTGAATAACAAGAAAGGACAGAGTTATCTTTTTTTCTTTTTTTAAGTAACTCACCTTTTATTATTTCACCAACCATTGGTGTTTTCATAGTATTTTAAATGCCTAATTTCAGTTTAACAACAACATTACCAATACTTTTTAGAAGATATTCCTATCTTCCAAGTAGCAGATATTAACGACTTCCAACCAATCTTTAGGAATAGTCTACAGTTCTGAACCATGCTTAAGAAAAATATTTCTAGCCCTAGCTGGCTTGGCTCAATGTATAGAGCGTCAGGCAGCGAACTGAAGGGTCCCAGGTTCAATTCTGGCCAAGGGCACATGCCTGGGTTGTGGGCTCGATCCCTGGTAGGGGGCATGCAGGAGGCAGCCGATCAATGATTCTCATCACTGATGTTTCTATCTCTCTCTTTCTCCCTTTCTTTATGAAATTAATAAAGAAATATATTTAAAAAAACACACATTTCCAGCAGCCTGTGCGAGATTTATTCCTATTCCACCATTAGTAATAATTGCACTTGTTGCTGCAGAAACTTTAAAATTTTCTGCTGCAAACTTTAAGACTGCTGTGTACTTTTAGGAACATTGAGTATTTTGTACAGCAGCCCTGGGTTCAACATCAGTATGATTTTAAAGGAAACCTTCAACAAGGTGGAATTGATCTGCAGAGAGGACCCAAGTCAATTCTGCCCAGTAGCCCCACTTCTCTGTGGTACTGGGGACTGTGCCTGTCATCTAATTTTTATAGATGAGAGTATAAAAATAAATGAGGGTATACAAGCCACTTGGGTTTTGGTCAATAGCAAACCCTGGATTTAAACCAGGGTACGAAGTCTATGGTCTTTTATATTACAAAACAATTTCCAATGACAAATCCATAAAGTCAGAAAGAAACCACTGAAAAATTTCTATTTTTGCTTTGGGAAGTAGTTACACAGGACTGTATACAAATTTTTACCATTCTTTTCTATATAAAAGTTATGTTTCACAGACACACCCACACAATGAGTCTAAACCAAAAACTGTAAAGGGAGAAATAAAAGAGAAGCTGATCAAAAGAGGACCCTAAAGGTAGAGGTAGACCAGAATGTTTTTTAAACAGCTGAAGCAAAACTTAATTTTTACTTAAATAAATCTTGTTAAAGAAAACATACATGATATTATTAAAATAAAGTGTTAAGGGCTTTTAGAAGGGTGGGTGTGGCACACAATAGAAAATCCTTAGTAGCAATATTTAAATACCATTATTTTTACTTAGTCAACTGAATATTTCTTAGACAACATTTAGCAAAATACTTGAAATTTTAGTTTAAATGCTCTAAAATGCAAAATCAGCGTTTGTTCTAAAGTTTTTGGAGTGCAAACTTACATTCTTCCTAGTTAATTCAAATTGATGAGGTTTAAAATACAGCATACCAGGGTATCTCTAAACACTAACAAAAGTGGGGGCAGTACCCCCAAAATACCAAGCGATGTTTTTTCCTTTCTACTAGTATTCTATAAAAGTATGAACAGCCCTTTTATTTTCAATTACACAAATAAAACCATGATGTTGGACAACAAATCATGGTTGAAGTTCTGTTAAAGACTTTGCAGAGGATCAATGGATCAGCTGAAATATTCACAACAAAGAGCTACTCAGTTCTGGAAGCCATTCATGCTGACTCAGTCATAAGATTAATCTATATATAAACTCATTAGCAAAGAGTGATTCAAACACTATTTGGGTTGTTTTAAAATATTACTTAAAAAATTAAAAATAAACACTCAAAATATTTGAAATAAGTTAGAAAAGACAATAAATAGAAGCTAAAATTTTCCTAGAAAATAAAGAGAAGCACTTTAGGTCTGTTGAATATAATCACACAATAGTTACATACAAATGCATAACAAATAAAAAGTATAATAAATGCAAAACCAAACTGAATCCATTGGTTAAATAACAATCTTAAATTTTTAGTTAACTGAAAAAAGTGGACAGGGAAGCAAATCCATACTTACTTATCATCCCTTTCTAGACATTTGACAAGAATTGGTAAAATCCCGGATTTTATTAAATCATCAATTGGTGGGTTTCTGTCACTGGATAATAGTTTTCTAGGAAAAAAAATATAAGAAGTTATCATTTTCAAACTATGAACAGAAATAATAATGTACTCCTTCTAGACTATCAAATAAGACACCCTACATGTGACATAACTTCTCTGATGGGACAAATTAGTATTTACCTTGCAGCTTGGACAGCACTCAGCTGGACCACTGGGTTATCACTGGTGGCATTCTGCAACACCAAATGTAAATTTCAGAAATAAAAAAAAATCAATTTCAAAATATTTCAAAATGAGAATATTAAATTAATAACATACCTGCAATATAGCTTCTAGTGTTACATTTTGCTTAAAAAGAAAAAAAGATAGTTCAGCAAAGAGTTTGTTAGCAAAATCGCATTTATAAAATCCTTTACTAAAGTTACTATACCTTAATTATCATTGTACAATTGATCTTAGATTAAAAATGAAGTTTTCTGGCCATTACAAAATTTATTTAAATAAATAGTTTATAAGAACAAGGTAACTTACTGCTTTAAAATCAGCATCAACATCTGAATCTTCTAAACTTTCTTCTTGAGGAACATTCCTTTTTTTCAGTAAGTGTTCATCTCTTTTGTTCTGAAAGGCAACCAGTAAATAGTTGAGAAGCCATAAGGATACTGTTAATAAAAATTCCATTAAAATTATTTAAACTTTATCAGAGAATTGTGAAACAAATTGGGTCTCTACATAAGAGTAACATAAATTAAGTGTACCTATGCAAATCAACCACAAGGATTAACAGATTACAGTCCAGATCTCTCTCTCTCTCTCTCTCTCACACACACACACACAAACACACACACAGAGACAGACACAAGCTATTTATTAAGCACCAACTGTTTTGACCAATATTATGCTTCCCAATCTTTAGTGAATATTTAAGTTTGGGGATGCATTATTATTATGTCTTTTTCCCCCATTGACCTCTTCCCAGCCACTCCCACCCACCAGCATATGCCCTCACCCCCCTACTGTCTGTGTCCATGGGTTATGCTTATATGCATGCATACAAGTCCTTTGGTTGCTCTCTTACCTCCCCCCCGTCCCCTGCCTACCCTCTGAGATTGGATGGTCTATTCGATGCTTCTATGTCTCTGGCTCCATTTTTGTTTATCAGTTTATGTTGTTCATTATATTTCACAAATGAGTGAGATCATGTGACATTAATCTTTCTCTGACTTATTTTGCTTAGCATAATGCTCTCCAGGACCATCCATGCTGTTGGAAATGCTAGGAGTTCCTTCCTTTTTACAGCAGCATAGTATTCCATTGTGTAGATGTATCACTGTTTTTTAATCCACTCATCTGCTGATGGGCACTTAGGCTGTCTCTAAATCTTATCTATTGTAAATTGTGCTGCTATGAACATAGGGATGCATAAACCCTTTCTGATTGGTGTTTCTGATTTCTTGGGATATATTCCTAGAAATGGGATTACTGGTCAAATGGAAGTTTCATTTTTAATTTTTTGAGGAAACTCCATACTGTTTTCCACAGTGGCTGCACCAGTCTGCATTCCTAACAGCAGTGCATGAGGGTTCCTTTTTCTCCACATCCTCGCCAGCACTTGTCGTTTGTCAATTTGTTGATGATAGCCATTCTGACAGGTGTGAGATGGTACCTCACTGTTATTTTTATTTGCATTTCTCGGATGATTATTTACTTTGAGCATGTTTTCATATGTCTCTGGGTTTTCTGTATGTCCGCTTTCAAAAAGTGTCTAAAGGTTCTTTGCCCATTTTTTGATTGGATTGTTTATTTTCCTTTTGTTAAGATGTATGAGTTCCTTATAAATTTTGGAGATTAAACCCTTATCGGATATAACATTGGCAAATATGTTCTCCCATGCAGTGGGCTTTCTTGTTTTGTTGATGGCTTCTTTTGCTGTGCAGAAGCTTTTTATTTTGATGTAGTCCCATTTGTTTATTTTCTCCTTAGTTTCTATTGTCCTAGGAGCTGTACTGGTAAGGATATTGCTACGACATGTGTCTGATATTTTGTTGCCTATAGATTCTTCTAAGATTTTTATCTTACGTTTACAAAAAAATGTTTTTGTCTTAAGTTTAAGTTCTTTATCCATTTTGAGTTTTTTCTTGTGTATGGTGTAAGTTGGTGGTCTAGTTTCATTTTTTTTGCATGTATCTGTCCAATTTTTTTCAACACTATTTATTGAAGAGACTGTCTTTACTCCATTGTATGCTCTTGCCTCCTCTGTCAAATATTAATTGAGCATAATGGCTTGGGTCTATTTCTGGGTACTCTGTTTTGTTCCATTGGTCTAAATGTCTGTTCTTATGCCAGTACCAGGCAGTTTTGAGAACTATGGCTTTGTAATATAGCTTGATATTTGGTATTGTGATCCCTCCAACTTTGTTGTTCTTTCTCAGGATTACTGCGGCTATTCGTTTGTTTTTTTTTTAATACCATATAAATTTTTGTAGAGTTTGTTCTAGGTCTGTGAAATATGCTGTTGGTATTTTAATGGGGATAGCATTGGATCTATAGATTGCTTTGGGTAGTATGGACATTTTAATGGTGTTGATTCTACCAATCCATGAACATGATATATTCTTCCATTTGTTTATGTCTTCCTCTATCTCTTTTTTCAGTGTCCTGTAGTTTTCTGAGTACAGGTCTTTTACCTCCTTAGTTAAGTTTATTCAAAGGTATCTTAATTTTTTGTTGCAATGGTAAACGGGATTGTTTTTTTAGTTTCTCATAAACTCAGATTTTAACTCTTACTCTCTGGCTTTTACAAACAAGAACTCTCTACTAGCAAATATATTTCTACATTTTATGGTATTTCAACTGTTTGTAATAGCAACCTGTGCCATTTCACATAATATATAACTTTGGGTAAGTCATCAATTTTATCTAACTTTTTAAAAAATGTATTTTATTGATTTTTTTACAGAGAGGAAGGAAGATGGAGAGGGATAGAGAATTAGAAACATTGATGAGAGAGAAACATCGATCAGCTGCCCCCTGCACACCCCTTACTGGGGATGAGACCGCAACCAAGGTACATGCCCTTGACCGGAATCGAACCTGGGACCCTTCAGTCCGCAGGCCGATGCTCTATCCACTGAGCTAAACCGGTTAGGGCTTCTCTAACTTTTTTAGTGTGTCTATAGAATTAAGCCAAAATGAATTTGATAAAAATTGAACAAATGATTTCTGAGATGCTTTTCAACTTAATATTTCAAAGGATATACAATACAGTATTTACAGAAGTGTTTGATTATAATAGAAAGTTACCAAAGAGGCACTAATACTGATGTTAAAATGCATTATCAAATAGAAAGTTAAAACTAAAAATACATCTATATCTGAAGCTTACTGGCTTATCTGCATGGCATCTACTTTTATACTATGTTTGAGTAACCATGTTGAAACAAACTGTTGTTGGGGGGGGGGGGCTGGTAAGAGACTTGTATGCATGCATATAAGCATAACCAATGGACATAAGACACTGGGGGGTAGGGGAGGCCAGGGGATTGTCAAGGGCGGGAAAAAAAGGAGACATATGTAATACTCTTTGTAATACTTTAAGCAATAAAACAATTAAAAAATAAAAATAAAACATAAAAAAAATAAAGAAACAAACTGTTGTTTATATACTAGTATATGCTAATTCAGAGATTAGCAACTTCCATTTATATGATGGCATACTTTAGCAATTTTAAATAATCAACTTTATATTATTTTTAAATTAACATCTCTCGCAAATATTAAGATTCACACATTAGTATTTTACAGACTAAGTAGCTCCTCAAAAAATACATATTAATTTACAGGGGGAAAACTTAGCAGACAGCATCTTGACCAACTGACAAAGAACAAATCAACACTGTGCCTTCCACACTGATGCACTAAGAAAACAATATCACTTCTGTGGTATTCCTGACTAAAATAACAACAATCTGAGAAAAGCCAGATAAACCCAAATCTGCCATTTTACAAAAATTTAGTGTGTACTCTTCAAAAGATAAAGTCTGGGAAACTTCTGGTATGAAGGAGACTAAAGAAACATGAGAACTCACTGCAATGCTCAATCCTGATTGGATCTCAGATTTATAAATGACATTATTGGGAACTAGCAATATGAGTTGGGTCTATGGATTAGATAGTAAAAATTTATATACGTTTATCTGACAGATGCACTTTGGGTACGTAGGAAAGTATGTTTTATGAAATACCAGAGGCCTGGTGCACGAATTCATGCACGAGTGGGGTCCAAACTGCCCGCCCTGATCGGGGCCAATCGGGCTGGGCCAGCTGGGAGGAGAGGCCACGGGCGGTGGGCTAGCTAGCCCCACCCCCTGGTCGAACTCCTGGTCGAGGGGACAATTTGCATATTAGCCTTTTATTATATAGGACTAGAGGCCCTGTGCACAAAAAATTGTGCACTTGGGGGAAAGGGGGGGTCGCTCAGCCCGGCCGGTGCCCTCTCGCAGTCTGGGACCCCTCGGGAGATAACGCCCTGCTGGCTTAGACCTGCTCCCAGGTGGCAGAGGGCAGGCCCAATCCCTAGATGCAGCCCCTGGTCCGGCTCAGAGCAGGGCTGATTGGGGAGTTGGGGCGCCGCCCCTGTCATGCACAGAGCAGGGCGGATCGGGAGGTTGCGATGCCACCCTCAGTCACGATCAGGGTAGGGCCGATTGGGGGGTTGGGGCACTGCCCCCTGTCACACTCAAGGCAGGGTTGATGGGCAGGTTGCGGTGCCACCCCCTGTCACCCACAGAGCAGGGCAGATCAGGGGTTGGGCGCTGCCCCCTGTCACGCACAGAGCAGGGCCATCAGGGGGTTGGGGAGCTCCCCCTGTCACGCACAGAGCAGGGCCCATCAAGGGTTTGGGGAACTCCCCCGTCACTCACAGAGTAGGGCCGATAGGGGAGTTGGCCCCCCCCACCCCGTCACACACAAAGCAGGGCCGATCAGGGGGTTGGGGCGCCGCCACTCTCACACTCAGGGCAGGGCTGATGGGGAGGTTATGGCTCTACTCCATCATACACAGAGCAGGGCCAATCAGGGGGTTGGGGTGTTGCACCCTGTCACATACAGAGCCGCAGGGCGATCAGGGGGTTGGGGAGCTCCCCCTATCAGGCACAGAGCAGGGCCGATCAGGGGTTTGGGGTGCCTTCCCCTGTCACGAACAGAGCAGGGCGGATAGGGAGGTTGTGGCCCCGCACCCTGTCACACACAGAGCTGCAGGGCGATCAGGGGGTTTGGGCGCTGCCCCCGTCACGCTGATCCCGGTGCCGGGAGGCCTCGTGGCTCCGCTGATCCCGGTGCTGGGAGGCATATTACCATTTTACTATATAGGATAGAGGCCTGGTGCATGGGTGGGGCTGGCTGGTTTGCCCTGAAGGGTGTCCCAGATCAGGGTGGGGGTCCCCACTTGGGTGCCTGGCCAGCCTGGGTGAGGGGATGATGGCTGTTTGCAGCTGGCCACACACCCATCAGGGTGGGGGTCCCCACTGGGGTGCCTGGCCAGCCTGGGTGAGGGGATGATGGCTGTTTGCAGCTGGTCACACACCCTTAAGGGTGGGGGTCCCCACTGGGGTGCCTGGCCA